GTAAACGTTGTCGGTTCCGCGAATCGAGCCTGGAACCCGCATCGTAGGCGCGTGACACACGTAAAGACTGTGAGAACTCCCGGTTGGTTCAATGATTGCAGTGCCGACAGGTTGTTCACCGAGGAACTCATCGAGTATCCGATGCTGAATCCGTTTGCTCAGCTCGACCCCGTGCAGCCTCACAACCGCAGCGTCGACACCCGCATTCATGATCCCGTAGCAGTTCGCCGCCGTCACAAAGCAATCGTGGGCGTCCAGCCCCTCGTAGGCCGTCTGAATCACTCGGACCGCGGGAAGGCCCTCGAATCGCTCGCTGAACGCCTCGGCAGCCTCTCGTTCCGGATGGATCAGCCACATCTCGATCGGTAGTGGCACCTAGTCACCCCCTTTCCGGTTCCTCAATGCCTCAGACGCCGCGAATAGACCAGCCAAGAGCTTGAGATCCGCGACTGCCGACCTGCTTCGCAGCCAGGTCAACACGTCGCCAAGAGGCGCCTCGTGAACGGCGATGTCCTCGCTAGCATCGCCCCCACCAGGGCCTTGCCGCTGCAAGCCCTCGGCCAGGAACAGCGTGATCGACTCGTCGGTCAAGCCCGGCGACGAATATCCGGTCATTAGTTCAGTCCACCGATCTGCAACGTAGCCGGTTTCCTCTAGCAGCTCCCGTTTCGCCGCTTCGACAAGCGCCTCATCTTCCTTGCCGACAATGTCACCGCTCAGGCCCGCGGGAAGTTCGATAACGGTCTGATTAACAGGAGGCCGGTGCTGCTCCACCAGAACGACATCACCAGCGTCTGTAACGGCCACAATGCCAACCGCGGATCGGGCGATGTTGCGCACGGCATACTCCCACCTGCCACGCCTGAACATTGACAGGTGTCGTCCCTCGTAGACTGGCGTTGGATTGATGTCTGACATCGTTACGTCCTTCATGGTCAGTTGTCGTGCAGGTGCAGTTGTGGCGTCGGCTCGACGCCCGCATCGAGCCGAGAGATCGCCTCGCGTGTCGCATAGCCAATATCGAAGACCTCCTCATCCGGAGTCCACACTGCATCTTGCATCCACGCCACAAACCGCGACGCCTGGTCCTGGTAGTCGACGCCCGCACTGACGAAGCTGTCCGCCAAGCCGAGCATCAGCGAGGAGTCATCAGACCAAGTCCCGGCGGGCTGATGGTGGGTCCCGTAAGCCCGCATCCCCGTGACCGCCGATTCGCGCAGGGAGTCCCGACTAGTGAAATCGACCGGCACACCGAGTGCATCGCCAACCATGCTGCCGAGCATGCCTGCTTCAATGGCAACGACTTGATCGTCGACTCTGCTACTCTGGATATCGTTCATTGAAAGGCTCCCTCAAACCTCTGCTGGAAGGGGCGGAAGATCGACTCGTTCTTTGTGCCGTCAAGGACCGCAAAGGTCACGCTCTCAAAGGCGTCGCGGTACGCCCCTTCTCCAAGCAAAGCCTCGTTGAACAACTCTGCAATTGCTTCAGGGTCGTTCCGGAACACGCCGCATCCCCAAGCCCCGAGGACTAGGTGTCGATACGCATGCCTGACAGCAACCGCAAGCACCTTGTCGATCCGACTCGCCATCGTTGGCAGTATCCTCTCGACGTTGGCCGGCTCGTTGTCATGGACCGCCCCTGCGTTCACCGCCGGTGAGGTCAGCATGCCGACAACATAAGGCGCCGACAGCAGTTGACCGTCATCCGAGCGGAGCACTGGGACGCGGGGGCTCAGGATCATGTGATCGGTGTACAACGCTGTCCGGCAACCGCGGTTGGCCTCGTAGTAGTCCGCCTGCGTCTGCAACGACGCGTACAGGGCAGACGAGCGCGCCAGGCTCTCCTCCTGCGCTTGGCTGCCGCCCAGGAAACCGCCGCCGGGGTTCTTCGCCGAGGCGAAGTTGAGCAGTAGCACGTCACCGAGGCCGCGTTCCGCCACCAACCGATGAGCAGCGGTCAACGTCGTTTCGTTGCGTACCTCAAACGCTGTCGACGCCTGCATGTTCGCGTCCCTCTCGCTTGGCCCGTCGTGATCGCTAGGGCGGATGAGAGTCGTCGCGGCTAGGCAAGCGTCGACCTGCTGGTTGACCTCGACACGACCAAATCCGTCGACTTCGTACCAACCGCGTTGCACGATCTCGAGTGTTTCCTTGGCGATTCCCGCCCGGTTGCTGCGGCTCATTCGGATTCCTCCCCCTCGATCCGCACCCCTGCTTCCTTCATTTGATGGATTGCCGCGTTGCAGTCGCCCGGAGTTAGCTCGACGCCGCGGCTTCCTTCGGGCAGTAGTCGCACGCTTAAGCCGAGTCCGACCGCGTCCAGGGCGGTGAACTTGACGCAGTAATCGGTAGCCAACCCCATCAACTCGACGGCGATCCACGCCTCGTATAACAGTCGTGGATTCGGGCAATCTCAATCTTGCCAAGATCGTCGCGAAAAGAATCTCGGGTGATTTGGAGCACTGCAAGTAGGTCCCGACACCCCCCGAAAAATAGCCCCATGGATGACTGCTCGAACTGAGCGGCCTCTGCCAACAGAATCTGCGCAGCGAACAGGTTCGATGATGAAAGGAATGTATCAGCCCACGACGCAAGCCTGGGCCGCACCTGGTTTTCCATGCGGTACACCTATGTGAAACCGGGCCGACCGGCCGGCGCCGCGTGTAGGTGCTCACGCCGAGCCGACCGGTCTGTGCGGGGATCAGCCGCAACCCGGAAGAGTCTATCGCGGGAGTTTAGCCAATTGCCTTTGCAGCCGCGATGCCCTTGGCCGCATCGCGTTCGGCATACACCTCTGTGATCCGCGCGCAGGAGTGCCCCAGCAGCACCTGGGCCGCCTCCAGCCCATAGGTCGCCCGCGCCCTAGTGGCAAACGAGTGCCTGAGCTGATTGGGCGACCACCGCTCCACACCGGCCCGTTCGCAGGCCCTCTGGATCGCCCGACGGTAGCTGTCGACACGGTACCGCCGGGCCGCCTTCACGACGCTCGCCGCCCGCGTCGGCCGGAAACAGTACTCCTCTTCCGCCCGAGACAGAAACGGCCTCAAGACGTCCTGACCTCGTGGTCCGATGAACACGCTGCGTTCCTTGCCGTGGTGCTGCGTCTTGTGCTCGACCGGATGGAAGACCCAGACGTCGCCCGAACGGTCCACGTCAACCGGCCGGACGCTGCACACCTCAGCGGGGCGCATCCCGGTCGACCGCTGGAGTTCAACCATGGCTCGCACCGTTGGCGAAAGCTCCAGCAGCGTCGCATCGACCAGCTCATCGGCCACGGGCTGAACGGAGGGCCTTTCGTGCGCACGCGTCCTACCAGCCTTCAGCCCTGCTAGAGCCCGCAGCCCCGACCAGATCTCTGCGGAAACCAACTCCTCGGACGCCGCCCAGCGGAATGCTCGCACGATCCTGCCCACGTTCTGATTCACAACGCCACGGCAGAGGCCAGCCTCGATCATCAGTTCCCGCACCGCCCGTAGGTCACCTACACCGAAGGAATCCGCGGGCAGTTCCTGATGATGAGACAGCAAGTACCGCATCGCACACCGTATGGATGCGACTTCGCTGGTGGGCTGCCCATTGGGGCGGCGATAGTACTCCCGCGCGTGCTCCTGGTACCGCGCAACGAGCCTTGCGATGTCGACGCCGGGACGCCTCGCTAGATTCGCGTCCGTTGGTGGGGCGAGAGAAGGCATCCGTCCGGCCAAGAGATCGGCGGCGATGCGGGCATAGCGTTCGCGGCTCTCGTCGGAGCCGTACTTGCCGAGGTAGACCGACCGGCGTTTGCCGCTATCGGGATCGGCGATCTTGATGACCGCTTGACCGCTGGGCTTGTGGTGCGAATAGGCCGGGACTCGAGGGACGCGTAGCACTGCCAATGCCTTTCCGGGGTAGGTTTACCCCAAGAATGTGCTTGCAGGCAGCACTGCCGACCGTCGACAGGTATCGCTAAAAGCTGAACGCCCAGTAACTTATGTAAAGTCGGGCCGACAGGATTCGAACCTGCGACCTTTTGACCCCCAGTCAAACGCGCTACCAGACTGCGCCACGGCCCGAACTTAGGTAAGATGTCGCCGCGGAGAAGCCTTGAGAGCAAGGGTCGCGACTGCCACTAGATTACTACAGGCCGGCGGGGAGGGGAAGCCCAAGTCACCAAGCCGCTTTCCGCTCCGGGAGCCTCGCAGTGGAGTTGCCGCTCGGCCAACCGTCCCCGCGGCTAGCCCTCAAGCTCCGCCATCACGGACTCGTCGATGTTGAAATTCGAGCTGACTTTCTGGACGTCGTCGTGGTCGTCGAGTCGCTCCATCAGCTTCAGGACCTGCCGGGCGTCGTCTCCGGCGACGTCCACGTAGTCGTTCGGCAGGTAGGTGATTTCGCTAGTTTCCGTGGCCAGGCCCGCCGCCTCGACGGCGTTGGTAACATCGTTGTAGGCGTCAACCGGGCAGGTGACCTCAAACTGGTCGCCCTCGTGCTTGACGTCGTCGGCGCCTGCTTCCAGAGCAAGCTCCATGAGCGACTCCTCGTCGGTTTCGCATGCGGCGATCACCAACAAACCTTTGCGCTCGAACATCCAGGCCGCGCAGCCGGTGGCGCCGAGCTTGCCGCCACACACGTCGAAGATCTTGCGGATCTCTGGTGCGGTGCGGTTGCGGTTGTCGGTGAGGATCTCGCACATGAAAGCCACGCCCGACGGGCCCATGCCCTCGTAGATGATTTCCTCGTAGTTGTCGCCGTCGCTGTCGCCGGCGCCCTTCTTGATCGCCCGCTCGATGTTGTCCTTGGGCATCGACACCGCTTTGGCGTCGTTGATCGCGTAGCGGAGCCGGAGGTTCGCATCGGGGTCCGGGCCGCCCATCTTGGCGGCGACGATGATCGCTTTGGAAAGCTTGCTCCAGACCTTCCCTCGCTTGGCGTCGATCGCCGCCTTCTTGTGCTTGATGCCCGCCCAGTGTGAGTGGCCTGCCATGTTGTGCTCGTGAGTGCGTAGGGGTGTGGTGGTTGCTACTCGGCGTCGCTGGGCGCCGGCTGCTGCCTCTCAGGCTGGAGCGAGTCGATCCTGCCAAGAATGGCTTCGCGCAGCTCTTTGCGTTCGGGTTGCTCGGCCAGCGCTTGGATCGCTCGCCGCCACTCTCGACGTGCGGCGTCGGTCTCGCCCGAGGCGGCGAGCGTCTGGCCTAAGTGATCGAGTATCTCGGCGTCCGGGGTCGCGGTCAACGCGACCGCCCTGCGGAGGGTGGTGGTCGCTTCATCGTGGCGCCCCAGTCGAAACAGGGCCCAGCCGTAGCTGTCCAAGTAGGCCGGGTTTTCGGGCTCCGCATCGACCGCCGACTGCGCCATCCGCAGAGACCGTTCGGGGTGGAGCCCGCGGTCCGCCCATAGGTAGGCAAGGTCGTTGCTAGCGCCAGGGTCGCCGGGGAACTCATCGAGCACAAGTTGCAGCTGCTCAATAGCCGCGTCGGTCTTGCCGAGTTTCAGCAGCAAATAGGAGTAGCTCAAGCGTGCCTCGCGGAGGGTCTGCCGCGCAGAGTCGTCGACCTCGTCGTCGAATTTACCAAGGAGGTCCGCGTACTGCTCTACCGCCTGCTCCTCACGCCCGGCGGCCTGCAGCACGCGGGCGATCTGGGCCGCAAAGTCGGGAGAGTCTGGGGCCAGTTCCGCCGCCTTGCGTGCGGCATTTACCGCGTCATCCGGGTTTGATTGCCAGGGCAGGGCGGCGCTCAGGTAGTACCATGCAGCAGGGTCATCCTGTTCGAGGCTTCCGTTATTGAGTCCGTCGCGGATGAGCCCCGCCGCCAGCGAGCCCTCGTCCGCTAGAATCAGGCCGATGGCGAAGTCCAGCGTCAGCGGGCCGGCGTTCTGGTCAACCGCTCCGATTCCCTTGCGGAAGAGCTCAACCGCTAGCTCGTGCCGACCCGAAATCGCAGCAAGACGCGCCGCCGGAAGCAGCCGCTCGGCAGCGGCCGGTTCGGCGTTAAGCAGAACTTGCAGGCGGGTCGCGATCTGACTCGCGAACGCGTCGTTGCGCATGGCGCTCTTGAGGGCGTCGGCGTGGTCCGCAAGCGATGGGTCAACCTGCCCGAGCTGCTCGATCAATGGCAGGATGCGGTTGGCGTCGTCAGCCTCTGTGTAGTATTTGATAAGCGAGTTGGCGGACTCGTTGAAGGTCTCCTCGTCGATGGGCGCCTCGGATCCGACCGCCGCGTCGACCAATCGGCGCAGCAGCGACGCGGCATCATCCGGGCGCCCCGAATCAGATCGGTGCACCGCGTCGGCCCGTAGGGCGTATAGGCTGTCGGGACGCTCCTTCCTAATTCTTTGGAGCTCTACCGGCCACCGCCCGCGGTCGTTCAACTGCGTAAGGGTGGCGCGTAGCAGGCTGTACGGATCGGCGCCGTACGGATCGCCCGGCTGCTGGAAGTACTCGCGTAGCTGTGAGTAGGCCTCAAGGGGCTGAGACTTCGCCAGAGCCAGTTTCGCGAGCCAGAACTGCACCCCCGGTTCGGCGTCAATTCCGTCGGCGATCTGCGCGAATGCCTGGCCGGCAAGTCCTAGCTTACCCGCCTCGAGGTGGCATTGGCCGAAGGTCTCGTAGACCTGCGCCAGCGAGCCTCCCAGCGCCGACGTGAGACGACGCGCCGCGTCCGACTCGGGTGAATCCAGCAGCTCCTGCTGCACGATCGCCAGGCTCCGCGAAGCGTCTTCGTACTGCCCGAGCTGTTGGTACAGACGGCCCAGCTCAATCCTGATCATCGCCTTCTCGAACGAAGCGTCGCGTTCGGGCGCTCTGTCTAGCCAGCGTTCGTAGAGGATCGCCGCCTGCCGCCATTGCTGCGACTCAGCTGCAAACAGGGCGAGCCGGCGGAGCATCTCCGGAGCAACGCCGCCCGCTTGGGATTGGATCACCGCGTAGCGGATGGCCTCGTCGCCGCGGCCCAGGCTGACAGCCAGCGGGATGACCTCGTCCAACAGCTGGGTCTGCGTTGGGTCCCACCGCCAGGAGCGCTGGTACGCCCGCAGGGCGCCGGCCAGGTCCGACTTGGCGTAGAGCATCTTGCCAAGGGCGTAGCTGGCCGCTGCCTGTGTGCGGTCCTGCTCGCCCTCGGTAAGTGGCCGTTCATCGGCGGCTGACGCCAGCAGCGGGGCCACGGCGATCGCGCAGAGTAGCGTGTTAAAGGACGGTCTCGAAGCCACGGCGGGGACGCTACTTTGGTTTGCGCTTGGCGGCAGACTTCTTCTTGGTCTTGGCGGGGCTCGCCTTCTTTGCAGGCGACTTCTTCGCGACCTTCTTCTTGGCGACCTTCTTGACGGCCTTCTTCGCGACCTTCTTCTTCACCGCCTTTTTGGGCGCGGGCGACTTGGCCGCGTCCGCCTTTGCTGGCGCAGACTTCTTGGGGGCGACCTTCTTCTTCGTCGCGGCGTCCGACGACGACGCCTTCTTCCCGGCGGCCGACTTCTTGGCGGCGGCCCCCTGCTTTGGTTTGGCCTCGGGCTTCGGCGGGCGCTTGGGCAGGCGATCCTTGCAACCTGGGTCGAGGGCCAGCAAGACCTTGCGGGCATTTTGCCCGTACGGGTTCTTGCCGACCTCCACACCGAGCTGGTGCAGCATTGAACCGACCTCGACGCCCTTCGCCTTGGGGATAGCGCGTTCGAGTCCGGGCGCCGAACCCGCCTTGGCCTCGGCGGGAGTGGTGATGTCGAGAGTCACAAAGGCCGTGAACAATCCCTCGTTGACCGGGATCGAGTGGCCGCCGAGCGACGCCTGCGTAACGTATGAGATTACGAACGGCGTGACGCCCTTGTAGGACTGAAACTGCTTGACCGTCTGACCCAGGTTCTGCTTCTTCAGCGGCTCCAGGTCGAACGTGTACAGCCCCTCGAAGACGCTCTGGAGCGTGCGTTTGAGCCGGTCGGCGGCCGCGTCGGGGTCGTTGAGCATCTTCAGCTCTTCGGCCAGCTCGCGGCGCGTGCTCACGCGCACCTCGTTCCAATCAAAGTAGTTTGACTGGAGCCCCTCGAATGCGGCCTCGGCCTCGGCGTGCGGCGAGCCCTCGAGCAGGCAGGCGAACACCAGGTTCTCTAGCAGCGTCCGCTCGTTGGAGCAGGCGACGGGCTTGTAGTGCTTCTTGAGGCTCGAAACGAGCTTGGTGATGCGGTTAGCGCGGTTGGATGCGGCCATTTAAGCAAAAAGCGTGGGCTGTCAGTCGTCTGGTTGCGTGGTTGATTCGTCGCTGTCCGGATCGTTACCGGGCTGTTCTGGGCGGTCCTCGAGGACCTCGTTGAGCAGTTTCGTCATGGCGATGGAGTTCTTCACGCCCATGTCGAGCTCAAACTTCAGCTGTGGGGTGTAGCGGGTGTCGATCCGCTGTGAGATCTTGCTCTGCAAGAAGCCGGCTGAGCTTTGCAAACCGTGCAGGCAGAGCTTGCCCTTGGCGTCGTCGCCCATGACAGACACGTGCACCTTGGCCTGCCGCATGTCCGGCGAAACCTCAACGTAGGTCACGGTGACGTCCGACACCCGTGGGTCGCGGATCTCGGTGAGGATCGCCATGCTCACAACTTCGCGGATGGCTTCAGCGGCTTTGAGTACGCGTCTTGAGGTCATTGAGGCAGCCCAGAACTATCGGCGAGGAACTATCGGACGCGGCGACGCGCACGCGTCCCGGCCGGTCGACTTGCGGCGGCGCCGCGTCAGTCGTCGAAGCTCCTGGCGATCTCCTCCACCTTGTAGAACTCAAGCAGGTCGGCCTCTTTGATGTCGTTGAATCCGGCCAGTTTGATGCCGCACTCGTAGCCCTCCCGCACCTCCTTGGCGTCGTCCTTCTCCCGCTTGAGCGTGTCGATCGGGTAGTCGCCGATGATTGTGCTGTCGCGGATAACGCGGGCCCGGGCGTTGCGTTCGACAACGCCCTGGATCACGCGGCAGCCGGCGACCGCGCCGATACGGCTGATCTTGAACACCTGCTGGATGAGGGCCCGGCCAAGCGAGACTTCCATCTTCTCCGGACGGAGCATGCCCTCCATCGCGGCCCGCAGCTCGTCGGTGATCTTGTAGATGATGTCGTAACGGCGGACCTGGACGCCCGACTGTTCGGCGAGCGAGCGGGCGGACTCCTCCGGGACGACGTTGAACGCGATGATGATGGCGTCCGAGGCGTCGGCCAGATGGATGTCCGCGGCAGTGACGCCGCCGACGCTGGCCTGCAAGATCCGCAGACGCACCTCTGGGTGCTCGAGCTTCGCCAGCTCTTTCTGGATTGCCTCGATCGAGCCGCGGACGTCGGCCCGCAGGATGAGGTTGAGCGTCTGCACCTCCTCGACGCCGTCGAGACGGTCGAAGAGGGTCTCGAGCGTGACGTGCTGGTAGCCCGTGGCGCCGAGGAACTCCGAGCGGGTTTGGTGCGCCCGGGTCTCGGCGATCTCGCGTGCCTGAGAGATGTCGTCCAGCACGTAGAAGCGTTCGCCGGCGGGCGGAGCGATGTCGAAGCCAGCCAGGTTGACCGGAACAGTGGGGCCGGCCTCTTCGAGCCGCCGGCTCTTGTCCAGAGTATCGGTCATGGACCGCACGCGGCCGTAGGCGTCGCCGCAGACGACGATGTCGCCCACGCGGAGGGTGCCGGTCTCGACGATGACCTTCGACAGGACGCCCTGGTCCGCGTCCTGGGTCGCCTCGAGGCAGACGCCGATCGCCGCGCGATTGGGGTTGGCCTTGTACTCGTGCAGCTCGGCGACGGTAAGGATGGTGTCGAGGAGCTCGTCCATGCCCTCGCCGGTAGCGGCGCTGGTCTTCACGACCTCCACATCGCCGCCCCACTCGCTGGGCTGCAGCCCGTTCTGGCTCAGGCCGGTCATCGCCTTCATCGGGTCGGCGCCGGGCAGGTCCATCTTATTGAGCGCGACGATGATCGGAACCTCGGCGGCGCGGGCGTGGCTGATCGCCTCCTCGGTCTGTGGCATAACGCCGTCGTCGGCGGCGACCACGATGACTGCGATATCGGTCACGTTGGCGCCGCGGGCCCGCATGGCGGTGAACGCCTCGTGGCCCGGCGTGTCAACGAACGAGATCGGCTTGCCGTCCTTGTCGATCTGGTAGGCGCGGATGTGCTGGGTGATGCCGCCGCTCTCTCCACTCGCGACATCGATCCCGATCATCTTGTCGAGCAGCGACGTCTTGCCGTGGTCGACGTGCCCCAAGAAGGTGATTACCGGCGGACGGTCCACCAGGTCGCCCTCGGGATCTTCCATCTCGTCGAGCCGGCGGAGGACCTTGTCTTCCAGGGTTTCCGGCTGCAGGAAGTCGACGTCCAGGCCGAGTTCGGCCGCCACGAACTCCGTCAGGTCCGGGTCCATGGGCGTGTTGATGGTGGCCATCACACCCTCTTCCATGAGGATCCGCTGGATGTCCCGAGCGGGCACACCGGCCGACTCGGAAAGGTCCCTCACGGTGCACGGCAGCTGGACCTCGATGCGACCCTTCCGCGGCGCGGCAGTGTTGACGCCCGAGCGGCGGCTGCGGCGGACACGCCGCCCGAGTCCGGGGCGCTGGCGGCGTGAGCCGCCCCGGTCGCGGTTGAGCTGGCGCGCCTCGCGGCCACCCAACATCGGGCGGCCCGACTTGCGGCGGCCATCATCGTCAACCATCTCCTTCGACTTGCCACCGCCGGCCCGCTCGCGGATCTGCTCGGCCTCCAGTGTGCGTTCGGCGCGACGCAGGTGCTGAGCGAGAGGCTTGCTGCCCAGCTTGTTGGCGCCGAGCACCTCCGTCGGCAGCGTCATGACCGGCTTCTGAGCCTTGGTCTCTTCCTTCGGCTTCTCGACCTTCTTCGGCTGGGTCTTGGCGGGCACCGCGGCCAGGCGGACCGCGGGGCGGGCCTTCACCTCGGCCGGCTTCTTGGCGCCGCCCTTGCGTTGGTCGGATCCGGCGCCCACCACCGGCATTTTCCCGGTGCCGGCGTTGGCCGGACCGATGTAATCCTCTTTGCGCACCATGCGGGCCAGCGGGCCCGGCTTGGCGAGCTTCTCGCGGTGCTCGGCTGCGGCGGCTTCGGCCTCCTGGCTTGCGGCCTCCTGCTGCTCGACGACAGCGTCGTCTTGGACCTCGGCGGCGGGCTGCTCAACCTGCGGGGCGTCGACCGGGGACTCCTGCTCGGCGATGGCCTCGGCGGCCTCCGGCACTTCCGTGACAGCTGGCTCATCGTCGAGCGGCGCGGCTTCGCCGCGTCGCGAGCTGAGCCGCGGACCAGTGGCCTTGGGCGTCACGATGACCTTCATCCGGTCGTCGCCGCGTTTCTCGGGCGGACGCATCGGGGGCGGCGGAGCCGACTTCCCCTTGGCGGCGGGCGCTTCTTTGGCGCCGCTCATGAATTGCTTGACCTTCGACACCTCGTCGTCGGTAAGGCTCGCCAGGGCAGATCCTTTGCCCGGCACTCCGGCGCGGGTGCAGATATCGACCAGCTCTTTGCTGTCGACGTTTAGCTCTTTGGCCAGTGAGTAGATACGAACCGCCAAACTAGTGTTCTCCGTTGAACTCGACGTGCGTCTGGCGTTCGTTCACGTTTGCTCGCCGAATCACCCCGGTGGGTGGGTCCGGCAAGTTCTCGCAAGTACCTATCACGAAACCATGACGCGCGCCTCCGCTTGGGTAACGCCCGGTCCGCCGGACGCTGGTAGTATGCCCGCCCACTCCCGTGAGCGACCGCCAAGCCCTTTATCATCGCCGTTCGGCGTCGCTGTTAAAAGGGGGGCAGCGTGCCGGGGACGGGGATTAGCGCAAATTTAGCGCCTCTAGCCCTCGGCCGGCGCCTCTTTTGGCTCCTCTGAGGCATCTTCTGCTGCTTCGGGGGCCGGTTGTTCTGCTTCTTCGGGCGGCGCGTCGGCCGGCTCGTCACCAGCGGCGTCCTGCTCGCCTTCGGCCGCCGTAACGCCATCCTCCGACTCGCCCGCTTCGGCCGCAGCGGCTTCCTCCGCCGCCTGCTGCTGGGCAAGCTGCTCGGCCTGCCGCTCCTCTTCGTGTTTCTTGCGACGTGCCGCAGCCGCGGCGGCCTCGGCCTCTTCGGCGCGGGCCTCGGCCTGCTCCACGATCTTGTCGACCTGTTCCTCGGTCAAGCCGCCCATCTGCATCAGATCGTCCGGCTCGATGATGGAAAGGTCGTCGTAGCTGAGGAAGCCCTCTTCAACCAACTTCTCGGCCAGCTCGAAGGTAACCCCCTCGATGCCGCTAAAGCCCTCGACGGCGCGGTCGATCGACTCGGCGAGCTCCTCCTGAGTCATGATCTCGATGTCCCAGCCGGACAGCTTGCTCGCCAGGCGTACGTTCTGCCCCCGGCGGCCGATCGCCAGTGACAGGTTGTCTTCACGCACGAGCACGATGGCGCGGCCCAGGATCCGACACAGGATCACCTGGTCGACCTCCGCCGGCTGCAGGGCGTTCGGGATCAGCACCTCGAGGTCATCATCCCAGCGGACGATGTCGATCCGTTCGCCGGAGAGTTCATCTACGATATTCTTGATTCGGTTGCCGCGGACGCCAACGCAGGCTCCGACGCAGTCGACGCGGGCGTCGCTGCTGCTGACCGCCACCTTGGAACGGTAGCCGGGCTCGCGGGCCATCGCTCTGATCTCGATGACGCTGTCAGAGATCTCTGGGATCTCCTGCTCGAACAGCCGTTGCACCAACTGCGGCGCGCGGCGGCTCAGGATCACCTTGACCCGGCTGCCGGCCTTGCGGACCTCGTAGACGGTGCAGCGGACGCGTTCGTTAGCGTGGTGGGTCTCACCAGGGATTTGCTCGCTGCGTGGCAGGATCGCCTCGACGTTGCCGAGCGAAACCGTCGCTGCGGCGCCCTCGTAGCGTTGCACAACGCCGCTCACCATGTGACCGATGAGCTCTTCGTACTCGTCGTAGAGCGCGTCGCGTTCCGCCTCGCGGATCTTCTGGATCATCACCTGCTTGGCGGTCTGAGCGCCAATGCGGCCGACGACCTCCTCGGAGTCGAGGGTCTCGCCCTCGCAGACGGCGGTGACCGAGCCGTCCTCCTGATTGATCTTGACGTCAATCTCGGCTTCTTCGCCGTGGTATTTTTTCAGAGCAGAAACCAGGGCCGCCTCGATGCCCTCGAAGACGATCTCTTTGTCGATGTTCTTGTCGCGGTGGATGGCATCGACGATCCGCAGGATTTCGCTGGCGTTCATGGCTTCGTGCTCCTTCGCGGCGAATGTCGCCCGCCGCCGGGCAAATCGGGTTGTCGGGTTGTACCAGCGGACCCCTCAGCTCCCACACCGCGGTCCGCATCGCCCCCATTGACGCAAAAAGCCGGCTTTCGCCGGCTGTCAGGAGCCGCCCGGTAGAGGGGCCCCGAACGAGGTCAGTGAGTTACTAGCAGACTAGCCCTGATGCCTAGACATGTCAACCGCCGCTGGCGTCGCGGGTCTGGCTCAGCCCGCGGCAACCGCAACAACCGTCGCAGCCTGCCCCTGGGGGGTCACGCTGTTGGCCAACACACTCGCACCGGCCGGCTGCCCGTCTTCGCGGACGGCTTGAACGGGACACTCGGGGTCGGGGGTCTGGTAGTTGAGAACCCGCGGCAACGTTCCGCTCCGCAGCGCGAGCACGCCGCCGATGAGCTCGACCACGCCACCCGCGGCGCCCAGGTTTCCAAAGTAACTCTTCAGCGCGGTGACGGGCACCCTGGCCGCGTCGGCTCCGAAGACGGTAGAGATCGCCCGGGCCTCGGCCGCGTCACCGTCGGTGGTCCCGAGTGCGTTCGCGCTAACGTGCCCCACTCCACCTGCCTGCAGCCCGGCGTCCTTGAGCGCTGCCCGCATCGAGTTGGTCAGTGCGGCCTGGGTGTCGCCGTTGAGCTGGGTGTCGGCAACCTGACTGGCGCCGAAGCCAGTGACCTCGGCGTAGATCTTAGCGCCCCGCGCTTCGGCCGCCTCAAGCGACTCGAGCACGATGGTCGCGGCGCCCTCACCGGCGACCATCCCCTGCCGGGACTTGTCAAACGGTCGACACGCCTTGGCTGGGTCGCCATCGGCGGGCGCCAGCTGCTCGAGTTGCATAGAGTGAATCGCCTGCATCGGCATCAGTCGGGTGCCAGTCGCACCGGCGACCATGCGGCTGGCGACGCCGCGTGAAATGATGCGGTAGGCCTCGCCAACCGCCATGAGGCCAGCCGCCTCACGCATGGTGAGCGAGTTGTTGGGCCCTCTGAGGTCGTTGAAGATCGCGATGTGGCTTGCCGGCATGTTGGGCAGGTAACGCAGCATCCAGAGGGGCTCGATCTCGGCAAGCCCCTCGTCGCCCCAGCGGCCGTAGTTGAACCGGTTGTCCTCGGCGCACTTATCGACAGCCCGCACGTAGTCTTCTGGCATGGTCAGCATGTAGTCGCTGCCCAGGACAACCCCCGTACGCTCGGGGTCACAGTCCGATTCACCCAGGCCCGCATCGGCAAGCGACAGCTGGGCCGCCGCGACCGCCATTTGCGTTTCGCGGCACATCATCTTGATGGCCTTGCGGATCGACTTCTTCAGCTTCCCGTCTAGGTCACCGAAGTCGCCGATCGCGCCCGTAAACCCCTTTGCCTCGGCGGCGATCTTCATCGACCCCGCCTGTTCAGGAACGAGCGACGACGGGCCAATGGCGCTGCGGCCAGAAGACATGGCGTCCCACAGCTCGTCGGGCGTGCATCCGGATGGGCTGATCAGGCCGATGCCCGTGATCACCACACGGCTGGCGGGGGGGAGAGTGCTCATAGTCTACGCAGCTTACCAAATCGCCGGGGTCGGCATAATCCGGGGAGGGTCCATCAGTATAGCGCTCGGCGGTTTAGTATCTACCGGTAAAACCGCTGGTGGCGCGTTGCGCCGTGGCGGGCGCGGCACCCGGGCTCGAGCTCGGCGTGGCGGTCCCCTTCGCCTCGACGAACAATAGCCCGTCGGCCCGAGGCGGTGCGTTAACGCCGGGGATCATGTTCAGCAGCTGGTTGCCCTTGTCGGGCGTGGGTGGAGCGATCACGCCCAGGCTCAGCAGCAGGACGTGGTCGGCGGGCCAGCGGAACCGCTCGTGGATCGTCGCCGAAGTCAGCTGCGGCACCTCGATCTCCATCCGCTGCGGGCCGGCCATCTGGGTTGGAATGTCGAGCCGAACCTGCTGCATCTTTTCCACCTGATTGACGCGGATCTTAAGGATTGCATCCGCGGTGGCGCCGTCGAACGAGAGCAGCGGAGCGAATTCAAGGCTAGCGCCCTCTTCTAGAGCCCCGGTTTCGGGCTGGAAGCCGGGCCAAGTATTTTGCGTCCGCACGATGCCCTTGATGTACTGGCGGGGCCGCATCGTTGACATGACCGACGAACGCCCATTCAGGACCAACTGCCCCGAAGCACTGTGCTCCCGGTAGTCGGCCCTTCGGACGAGGTCCGCCATGAGCAATGCGGCGTTCTCCTTGGGCAGGATCCAGCCCTGCATGCCCGGGGACTGGACCGGGATCGCGGTCATCAGCGGCATTGCGTTCGCCCGCCAGTTGGGGTTGCGCACGGTTGCGATCCGCAGCGCGAACGCCTTGGATTCGTGCTGCGTGTTCACGAACCGGTCGACGATGTCCGCGACAATTGCCTGCGTCTCCGGTGTGTGGTAGACGCGGAGCGATTCGCGGGTGGCGCTGAGGATCCCCAGCGGCTCGGAGTGCCAAGTCTCGTAGCCGGTTTCTCGCAGCACCCAGTCGACGATGGTCTGCTCGGGGTGCGGCGTGTTGGCGGCCCGCAGCGTGTAGGGGCGGATGTCGTATTCACGCATCACTTGTCCGTGGTCGTTGGGTAGCGTCGCGGCCCCCTTGGTCACGCGGGCCCGGCTGGCGGAGGCGCCGCCCAAGGGCGTCATGCCGCCGGCCGTAGCGCCTGCCGCAGGCGGCGTGGCGCCGGGAAGCGGCGTGATGCTGTTGTCTGGCGCCGGCGACCCAGCTGGCAGCGCGGCGGGCTGGTTGTAGCGGGCATCCCCGGCTGCGGGCGGAGGACCGCCTGCGGCAGCGCCGTACCGGGAGTCGGCCGCCGGCGCCGACCAGTCCTGCTGCTGGGCGACCGCTACTGGCGCCAGGGCAAGTGTGCAGAGGAGGGCGGCGAGTCGAAGGCTACGCATTGGGGGTACTCCCGTCGATCGGGCGGACGCTTCCACCGGGGGCGGTGCGAGCCGGGATCGACCCGCTGAGGGGCGGATAGTACGCGCATAGGCGTCAACGCCGCAAGACGGATGCTCGCCGGGCGCCCGCGCCGAGTGCGAAAGCCGCTAGCGGGACCAGCATCAGGAGCGAGGACGGGGCAGGCGCTGCAGAATAGGCAGCCGCCTCCGCCCCGATCGCGGGGTAGGCCTGGCGCCAAACGAGATAGTCCGCTTGGGAATAGGCTCCGCCCAGGCCGTCGCGCCAAACCGTGTAGTCCGCGGCGTTCACGGCGCCGTCACGGTTGAAGTCTCCGGCGATTCCCTCCGGAACCACGACGCTCCACCCCAGGTCCGCCAGCCCGGCGGCGTCCAGCGCGGTAAGCTCCTTCCTCACCGGCCCGTTGAAACTAGGGTCAAACAGGGCCTCCTGCGGCACTGCCGATCCCAAGATGGTGGAGGTTACCCCCTCCGCCCAGTGGCCGGCGGCCGGATTGAGCGGGACCGGCCCGCCATACTCATTCACTGCCGCCGCTCCGATAAACCGGTTCGCCCCGTCCACCAACCCTTCGGACTGCAGGGTTGCGCTGCCAAATCCAAGCGCGTGGCCAAGCTCGTGGAGAGCCACCGAGTAGAGGTCCGTCTCACCCGCCCCCGGCAGTGAACCGACGCCGCGATTCCAGGTGGTGCTGCCGTCGTTGTCGAATGAGATCGTCCCACCCCAATGGGCAAACCCAGACGACTGGCCGCGGGTCTCATAGTCGGCGACAAATGCTTCGTAGATCTGCTCGACCTGCGTCACGTCGCTCTGAGTGAACAGACGGTAGTCGTAGCTGGATCCGCCCACGCCAGCGCTGGCGATCTGGGAGCCGGCAAGCGCCGCACCGCCTACAAACACGACGTACTCGTCTTGGGCGAAATTGTAGGAGGCGAGGCTGACCGCTCGGCTCGCGTCGGTCGGGTGGTTCGGGTCGGCGAATTGCAGGTAGAAGTTCGCCGTACCGCCCCCGATGCCGAAGAACCGGGCTGGCACCGACACAGGCGAGAGCTGATCTTCAAGGATCGCGCTATAGTAGTCAGCCGCTGTCTCAACCGCAGTGCGGGCCTGCTGGCCCTGGGAGGTCGATGCGCTGAAGAAGCCGGATCCATCCTGGCTGTAGTCGATACGCAGGTTGACCGCTGTGCTCGGCACGGGAGCGGCGCCGATCGCGGCAGCCAGCAATAGCAGTAGCGGGCCTGCCGGCCTGGGCCAGGTCATTGGGGCGAGCCGTCCTGTTTCAATAGGGCGGGCGCCTGCCGCCCGCCGCCAAGCTTGAAGCTAGGCACGGGCGCGCGACGACGCAAGCTTTCGCCCCGAAACACGGCAAGCCGCACAACACGTGCCGTTAGAGCTTCGCGGCGATAATCGATCCGTTGTGGCCGCCGAATCCGAAGCTATTGCTGAGGGCCACGCGCATCTCCCGCTGCTGCGGCTCGTTGGCCGTGTAGTTGAGGTCGCAGTCGGGGTCAGGATTCTGCAGATTGATGGTGGGTGGGCAGACGCCGTCCAGCAAACCCTTGATGCTGAGAATGAGCTCAACGCCGCCGCTCGCGCCCAGCAAATGGCCCAGCTCGCTCTTCGTGCTCGAGACGTTCAGCTTGTAGGCGTGGTCGCCGAACACCGACTTGATGCCGCGGGTCTCGGCCTTGTCGCCCAGCGGCGTGCTGGTCCCGTGGGCGTTGATATAGTCGACATCCTCTGCGTTCAGCTTGGCGTCCCGCATGGCGCAGGTCATCGCCCACGCGCCACCCGATCCGTTCGGGTCGGGCTGCGTGATGTGCCCGCCATCGCCGCTAGCGCCATAGCCAACGATCTCCGCAAAGATCGGCGCATTACGCGCCTTGGCGTGCTCGTACTCCTCGAAGACAAGCACGCCGGCGCCCTCTGCCAAGACGAACCCGTCCCGCTCCAGGTCGAACGGGCGGCTGGCGCCCTGCGGATCGTGCCCGCGTTCGGAGAGCGCCTTCATGTTGGCGAACCCGGCGAGGCCCATCTCGGTGCAGGCCGCCTCGCTGCCGCCGGTGATGACAACGTCGGCGTCGTCGTACTGGATGGCGCGGAAGGCGTCTCCCATGGCGTTGGTGGCGCTGGCGCAGGCGGTCGCAACCGCCACGTTGACGCCCTTCAGGCCGTAGTGGATTGACACGTGGCCCGAGGCCGCGTTGACCATCAGCTTCGGGATGGTGAACGCAGAAACCTTGTCCGGCCCCTTAAGGATCAGCCGGGTCTGCTGGGCCTCGATCTCGGTCAGGCCGCCGACTCCCGAGCCGATGATTACGCCGCACCGGCGCAGATCCTCATTCGCGAAGTCGAGCCCCGACTCGTTCACTGCGTCCACCGCCGCCACATGGGCGAACTGGGTGAACCGGTCGATGCGTTTAGCCTCCTTCGCCGAGATGTACGCCGAAGGGTCCCAATCGTAGATGTCGCCGCCGAACTTGACCTTGTGGCGTGTTGTGTCGAACGCCTTGAGCTCGTGGATGCCGCTCTTGCCGGCCAGGATGTTGGCCCAGAGCTCGTCAACCTTGCAGCCCAGGACGCTCACCACGCCCATGCCGGTTACAACCACACGCCGTTTCATAGCAGTCGCCCGCTGTCTAGTGTCGGAGGAAAGTCGCGTTCGAGGGCCGACGCGTCCGCGGACGCACAGAGCCCAAAAAAAAGGGCGCCGGGCTGCGAGGCCCAGCGCCGTTGCACGCGCCGGCGTTACCCGGAACCGGCGGCAGGCGTCCTCTGACAGACGCCGGCCGCCCCGCCGTCGGCGGGGCTAGCTCCCCGAGTTGGCCTCGATGAACTCCACCGCCTGGCCAACGGTCTGGATCTTCTCCGCGGCGTCGTCGGGGATATTGATGTCGAACTCTTCCTCCAGCTCCATCACGAGTTCGACCGTGTCGAGCGAGTCGGCGCCGAGGTCGTTCACGAACGACGTGTCCGCGGTGATCTTTTCTTTGTCGACACCGAGCTGCTCAGCCACGATGTCCGTGACGCGTTCCAATACCGAGGCCACTACAGTTCTCCTTGAATCCGCTTGCGGTACGCTTCTAATCGGGCCGTCTGCCGTGGCGATTGGGCGGGGCTTAGCGGAAGGCCCTGCCGCCCACTACCAGGAGCGACTAGCGACGCCCCCGGCCGAGGTCCGGGAATCAGTTGGTAGGGTGTTTTGCCTGCAGACTCCGCGTGGAGGTTGACCTCTCAAAATAGAGGAGTTCCACAAGCGAGGTCAAGGTATAGCCGTTTGGGTTGGGGCTGTCTAGGTCGACCCGCGAAGCGGGGCAGCGGGCGGTCTTGGAGGGGTTAACCGGTCATCCCGCCGTCGATCGTGATCACCTGTCCGGTGATGTACGCGGCCGAGTCGCTCGCCAGGAACAGCGCCGCGTCCGCCACCTCTTCGGGCTCACCGAGCCGCTGAAGGGGGATGCGCTGCTTCACCACGTCGTGGAAGGCGTCACCGCCCGCCTCGGCCAGGATGTCGGTCATGTCAGAGCGAATGAAGCCAGGGCAAATCGCGTTGACTGTGATCGGCCGCCGCTTGCTGCCGAGTTCCTTCGCGACCGTTTGGGTGAATCCGATCACGCCCGCCTTCGATGCCGAATAGTTCGCCTGCCCTGGGTTGCCCATCAGGCCCGAGATGCTGGAGATGTTGATGATGCGTCCGCGTTTGGCGCGGACCATCACCTGCGCCACGGCGCGGGTGAACAGGAAGACCGACCGCAGGTTGGACGAAATGACGTCCCCCCAGTCGTCGTCGGACATGCGGAGCAGCAGGGTGTCGCGGGTGATGCCGGCGTTGTTTACCAGGATGTCAATCCCGCCCCACTTCTCCGATACGGCATCGACGGTCTGCTGCACCTGGGCCGAGTCGCAGACGTCGCACTGGTGGACGCTCGCCTCGCCGCCCGCATCGCGGATCGCCTGGGCGACCTCTTCCAGCTTCTCGACGTTCCGGGCGACGCAAGCCACCGTAGCGCCGGCGCGGCCCAGCCGCAGCGCGATCGCACGGCCGATGCCGCGTGAGGCGCCGGTCACCAATGCGGTGCGTCCTGTGAGGTCGGATGTTACCTGTGCTTTACTCGGTTCAGCCATCGCGGCTCCTAGCAGAAACTTCAGCTGTATAGGGACGGCGCATGGGGATGCCTGCCACTAGGCGGGGACGCTCTCGCAAGGCAGCTTTCGATTGATCCGCTTCAACAGCCCCCGCAGCACCCGACCAGGGCCAACCTCGTACACCGTGTCGACGCCGAAGTCATCGATCATCCGCCGCATCGAGTCCTCCCAACGCACCGGGCTCACCACCTGCTTGACCAGCAGGCTGCGGATTTCTTCGGGGTCGTCGTGCACGCCCGCGTCAACATTGCAGATCACCGGGATCTGCGGCGTGCCAATGGTGACGCCGGCCAGCTTCGCCTGCAGGCGATCGACCGCGGGCTGCATTAGGCTGGTGTGGAACGCGCCGGCGACAGCCAGCGGCACCACCCGCATTGCGCCCGCCTTGTCGGCCAGCTCCGCGACCCGCTCGCAGGCCGTGGTCCCGCCGGAAACCACCGTGTTGCCCGGGCAGAGGAGGTTGGCGATCTCAAGGGTGTCCTCGCCGCGGGCCTGATCGACGAGGTCGGCAATCTGAGGCACTTCCAGACCGAGCACGCTCACCATCCCTGACGGCGTTGCTTCGGCGGCGTCCTGCATTGCGGCGCCGCGTTCGGCCACAACCCGCAACCCGTCCTCAAAAGAGATGGCCCCGGCGAATGCGAGAGCCGTATACTCGCCCAGGCTGAGCCCGGCGGTCACCACACAGTTGTCGACAACCGCGGGGTCGTCCAGTCGAAGCTGCTCAAGCGCCGCCAGGCTGCTCACGTAGAGCGCTGGCTGGCTGTAGGCGGTAGAGTCAAGGTCCTCGGCCGGGCCGTTGACGCACAGCTTCAGCAAGTCGTAGCCGAGGATCTGGGCGGCCGCGTCAAACTGCTCGCGAGCCACGATCGACCGCTCGCACAGCTCAGCGGCCATGCCCACCGTCTGGGCGCCTTGGCCGGGGAAGAGCAGGGCGGTTCGAGAGCTCATAAGATGCTTAGCTCGGCAGGGTCAACGCGGCGATTGCGACGACGGTTTAGCTGGCCTCAACGACCGTGCGGCCCATGTAATGGCCACAGTTCGGATTCGGGCAGACCGTGTGCGTGGGGATCATCGTCCCGCACTTCGGGCACGCGTGGAGCTGCCGGGCCTGGAGGGCGTCGTGACTACGGCGCTTGCCGCTGCGTGAGTTCGAGTGTTTTCTCTTCGGGACAGCCATTTCCGGCGCCTTCTACTAATCTGGGGGCCTATGGTTTGGGGCCCAGTGCCAGGGCGGCCCATCCGTCGGGCGGCCCCTGTACGGTATCGGGGGGTCATCGAAGCCCCATAGAGTAGCGGTGTGGCCTCAAAGCTGTCAATGGCTGCCAGCACCACCGCTAAGACGGGTAGGCCCATGGAGGCAATGCCCCCGGCCCCCGACTACAACCGCTCCGGCTGCTAGAATGCGGCCTGATTCGCCGCGATTCCTGCCAGAAAGAGGCGCCATGGCCGTCGATATTGTGCCGATCAACTACCGATCCCCAGCCCACCGGTGGGCGTTGGTCTCGCTGCTGGACTCCTACGCAGACACCCCCCAGGGGAGCGGTACCGGCATGACCGACGACGCCCGCCAGAACGTCTCGGCGATGCTCGAAGCCACGCCCAACGCCTGCGTCCTAATGGCCGTCGACGGCGACGCGCCCGTGGGAACGGCGGTCTGCTGCCAGACATTCAGCACGTTTTCCGCGCGACCCGTCCTCAACCTGCACGATCTGGTGGTCGCGGCAGACCGCCGCGGCCTGGGAATCGGGCGGCGCCTGATGGAGGCGGTCGAGGCGGAGGCCCGCCGGCGCGGCTGCTGTTACATGACGCTCGAAGTCGTGGCTGACAACGAGCAGGCCAAATCGCTGTACCGCGGGTGCGGGTTTTTAGGCGGGGACTCAGCTAACCCACCCGGCGCGATGCTGTTCTGGAAGAAGCCGCTCGACTGACTCAGGACGCGGCCGGTCCGCCCGCCCCCGTTAACCGGCTCACCCCGCCACCGACAACGCCCGTTCGATCCTTGCCAGGCAGCGGTCGCGGCCGAGAATGGCGAGCGTCTCGTAGACGCCGAAGCCTACCGCCTTGCCGGTCACCGCGACCCGTATCGCGTGGATCACCTGGCCAATCTTCACCCCTTCGGCCTCGAGAAGCGACTGCAGGCAGGCTTCGGTCGACTCCGTAGTGAACGGCTCAAGGCCCGCCAACCGCTCGCCAAACTTCCGCAGCAGTTCGGCGGCCTCCTCCGGTTTCGAGATCCGCTTTGCAAAGGCCTTCTCGTCGTACTGCAGCTCGTCATCCGCGACAAAGAACTCTTGGTAATCGAGGATGTCGCCCGCGGTCTTGATCCGGTCGCCGGCTGCCTCAACGATCGCCGTCACGTAGGGGCCGGCCTCACAAGGTGGGGGAGACTCCAAGTAGCCGGCCCGCTTGAGGAAGTCGACGCACCAGGCGGACTTCTGCTTCAGCGGGAGCTGCTGCATCGCCCGATCCTGGAACGCCTGCAGCTTGCTCGGGTCGAAGCTTGCCGGCGCCTTGTTCACGCCGGTCAGGTCGAAGCACTCAATCATCTCCTCGCGAGTGAACTCCTCGCGCGAATCATCCAGCGACCACCCAAGCAATAGCAGGTAGTTGAGAATAGCGTCTGGCAGGTAGCCAACCTGCTCGTAGAAGTCGACGATCACCGGGTTAAAGGTCTCGGCCGCGGTCTCCAGCCCGAGCAGCTCGGCAACGTGCAGCCCGTGCTGGTTCAGCGCGGCGAAATCGCGGTTCTTGAGGTACTTGTCGAGCTTGCGTTTGCTCAGCTTGGTCTTGCTGCCCGGCTCGGCGACGAACGGGAGGTGGGCGAACTCGGGCAACGGGTAACTGAGCCGTTCGGCGATGAACGCCTGACGCGGCGTGTTGGACAGGTGCTCCTCCGCGCGGATCACATGCGAGATCTGCATCTGGTGGTCGTCAACGACCGTCGCCAGGTGGTACAGGCAGGAGCCGTCCGCCCGTTGAATCACGTGGTCCTGCTCCCGCGCCCAGGCGAAGCGGACCTCGCCGCGCACTAAGTCCTGCAGCACCAGCTCGCCCTCACGGGGCATTCTCAAACGCACCACTCCCTGGCGGCCCTCGGCCTCGAACGCGGCGGCCTGCTCCGGCGTTTCCGCCATCCAGCTCCGGCTGTACGTAAACGACCCGCCCGCCTGCTGGGCGGCCTCACGCTCGGCCTGCAGCTCTTCCGGCTTGGCGTAGTCGCGGTAGGCGTCGCCCTGGGCAAGCAGCTGATCGACCGCGGCCTGGTAGCGATCGCCACGCTGCGACTGGTAGTACGGGCCGAACTCGCCGTCCGACTCGGGGCCCTCGTCCCAGTCGAGCCCCAGCCAGCGGAAGCCGTGCAGGATGGGCGCCAGGGCTTCCTCCACGTTGCGTTGCTGGTCGGTGTCGTCGATCCGCAGCAGGAACTGACCCCCGTGCTTGCGGGCGAAGAGCCAGTTGAACAGCGCGGTGCGGACGCCGCCAATGTGGAGGTAGCCGGTTGGGCTCGGCGCGAAACGGGTGCGGACAGTCATAGCGGTAGCGGGCCTACGCGGTGCGGGTGCAAGGGCGTGATTCTACGCCAATCCCCTTACGCCGCGTAGCGTCCGTTCGCTTTCTGCTTCCGCAGCCGCTTGCGTTCGGCCTTGGAGAGCTTGCGCCGTGGAGCATCGTCGTCTTCGTACTCGGCGTCGCCCTCAGAGCCGTCAGTCCAGCGGGACTCGCTAGAGGCCGCCGGCGTCGGCGCCGAATTGCGGCGGGCCGCGCGGCGGGCGGAACGCGAGTCGGTCTCCTCTTCGTCCGCCTCAGAATCAGACTGCACTGTCGGACGTTCGAACTTCACGGTCTTCGGCGCCGGACTGGGGGCCGATTTCTCTTCCTTGACCTCGTCGGCACGCGGTTTGGCGGCCTTGACCGGCTTGGGCTTCTTGACCGGAGCGTTGATGACGCCGTCGGTCTCCAGCAGCACGCGGCGGACGTAGGCCAGCTGGGCCCCCAGCCCGAGAACTAGCCCGCAGAGCAGCCCGCCGACCTCGAACAACCCGGCGTGCTCAGACACGCCGGCGGGGAGAGCGCCCGTCGCCCCACACCACGAGACAATCACGCCAACCACGGCCAGTACGGCGAGCGATAGCGATAGCGGACTCTCGACAACGTCAGCAGCCGGACGGAAACCGATCACCCCAGCGGCGATCACCAACCCGGTCATCCACCAGCCGGCGCCTCCCAACGGGGCGAACCCGGTGAGCGTGCTGAGCTGCTGCGCAAGGGCCGAGCCCAGGCCTACCGAGTAGGCGGCGCTGAGCGTCACCGCCGCGCAGGCCGCAACTGCCCACCACCGGTACCGCCCGCGGACGTCGTCCGTGCGATTCGACCGGAGGCCGTAGATCACACCGCACATCCCGCCCAGCGCCAGCAGCAGGGCTCCGGCAAACCAGCCGCCGATCGAAGCCGGCGAAGATCCACCGATCATGCTTGCAAAAGCGGACGGGAGCGACGCGTGGAAGTACTGAGCCGCAACCACGCCGCCGCTGGCGGCTAGGCCCAACGCGATCGCGCCAGCCAGCGACGCGCCCTTAGTTGGGAGCACGCCCCGAGCAACGGCTAAACTGGGGCTCGCCGCGTCCGGCGCAAACCGGCGTTTCTTTACAGGGGGAGTGTCAGCCGAGTCCGGGCCGGTTGGCCCGTCGGCGACGCCGCCGGCGTTCCGCGTCCCGTCGTTGAGCATACGTCGTCGGCGATCATCCCTTCCTCCAGCTGCCATCAGCGTTCCCTCGCCTAAGCCCGGCATCCCGCGGGCGGTCGATTAGTCAGAGACAAGCGTGGCGCTGCGGGGCCACGAACCGGTTGTTCCCTACAACCTTTCGGATCGGCATATGCGACCCGGAGGTTTCAGTCGGCGGGCTCATAAATCGGGTTGGGCAAGCAGCGCAAACGCCGACTGCTAGCGGTTGCGCCGGCTGGGTCGCGCCCAACCGTATCGCTGTAACGTGTTTGAAGCGAGTGGTTTGCCGAGCGGCCCTGCGTGACCTAGTTTTGCCGAGTAGCGTCCGCAAGAACCATTATTCCCGCCCCGGCGAGATGTCAGACACCCTGCCCAGCCCCGTGGATCCTCTGCCTGGTGCGTCGGTCCCCCTCGGCCCCCCGCCCGCAGACCCGTCTCGGATCCCCGAGCTGCTGCAAACGCTGGAAGAAACCGCCCGACGCAGCGGTCACGCGTCGGCCGATGCGGACCCCAAGACAACCGAGTTCGAAGACCGGCTGGCCGCCGCCCGGCTGGGCGTGGCGAGCTCGCTCTTCACGGGGCTGCGCTGCAAGCACCCCCCCACCGCGTCGCACTGCCTGCGTGTCGCGCTCGGCTGCAGCCGCTGGGCGGCCGCGCTTGAGATGCCCGACGAGCTCCGCACCCAGCTCGAGCTGGCCGCGCTGCTGCACGACATCGGTAAACTCGGCGTGCCCGACTCGGTGCTGATGAAGCAGGGCCGCCTGCAGCCGGAGGACGTCACCGCGCTGAGCCGCAGCCCGCGGCACGCGCAGGTAATCCTCAGCCGCGCCGGCGCCCCGGAGAAGCTGATTGAGGTGGTGCTCGCCTCGAACGCTTGGTTCGACGGCAGCCGCGGCCCGGAGGGCATGGCGGGAGAGAACATCCCGGCGCTCGCGCGGATCCTGTCGATCGTCGACGCGTACGACTCGATGACCACCGACCACGTCTACCGGCCCGCCAAGTCGCAGGAGCGGGCGGTGGCCGAGCTGTTCGAGTGCGCCGGCTCGCAGTTCGATCCGGGCTTGGTCCGCAGCTTTGTGGACCAGCTCGGCAAGAACCACGCCGAGCGGTCGGCGGAGGTGTCGAAGCGCTGGCTCTCGCAGCTGTCGACCGGCAGCGGCGAGCTCCCGTGGGAGTTCACCCGGCACGCGCCGCGGGCCGAGGCGGAGTCGCCGGCCAACGAAGTCGCGATGTTCGAGAAGGAGCTCATCGACCACATGCACGACGGCGTCGTGTTTGTGAACCCGCACCGCCAGATCATCCTGTGGAACACCGGGGCGGAGCGGCTGACCGGCGTGGCCAGTTCGGCCGCCGTGGGTCAGACGCTGGCGCCGTCGCTGCTGGTGATGAGCGCCCCCGACGGGCGCATGCTCGAGGACGCCGAGTGCCCCATCACCGAGGCGATCAGCTCCGGCGCGCCCAACGTGCAGCGGCTGAGCGTCATCGGCCGCAAGGGGAAGCACGTCGAGGTGGACCTGCACTCGATCCCCGTCTGCTCGCCAAGCCAAGGCGTGCTGGGCGCCACCGTGCTGCTGCACGACGCCTCGAGCGAGGCTTCGCTCGAGCAGCGGTGCCAGGCGCTGCACGTCGAGATGACCAAGGACCCGATGACCCAGGTGGCCAACCGGGCCGAGTTCGACCGGGCGCTCGCGATGTTCGTCGACGCGCACCAGGAGACCGGCCTGCCGTGCAGCCTTATCATGGCGGACATCGACCACTTCAAGTCGATCAACGACACCTACGGCCACCAGGCCGGCGACGAGGCGATTATCACCTTCGCGTCGCTGCTCAAATCGATGTGCCGCACCGGCGACCTGGTCGCACGCTACGGTGGGGAAGAATTCGCCGTGCTCTGTGCCGACTGCAACAACGCCAACGCGGCGATGCGGGCGGAGCAGATGCGGCGGACCCTCGCCGACACAATCCAAACGGAACTCGGGGGCAAGTCCATCACCGCCAGCTTCGGCGTGTCCGAGCTGCAGGCGGGCGACACCCCAGAAACGCTGCTCAGACGCTCCGACCGGGCGCTGCTGCAGGCCAAGGACCAAGGGCGCAACCAGGTCGTTCAGCTGGGGGCTGGGATGGAAGAAGAAGAACCCAAGAAGAGCTGGTGGGGATTCGGTTCGTGGGGCAAATCGCTCGTTGAGACGACCCTCATCACCAATGTCCCGATCGAGGTTGCCGTCGAGAAGCTCAAGGGCTTCATCGCCGACCACGACGCCAAGATCCTCAAAACCGCTGAGCACGAGATCCGCATCGAGTGCTCCGACGCCGGCGCGCTGCGTCGCGCCAACGACCGCCCGGTGGGCTTCGTCCTCGACCTGAAGCTGGCCGAGGAATTCGTCGAACGCGAGAACGCCGCCGGCATGGCCAAGGGCACCTACGCCCAGACCACCGCCGCGGTGACGATCCGGCCCCGGCACGAGCGGGACCGCCGCCGCGGCTACGCGACCGAACGCGCCCGCAAGCTGCTCGGCAGCCTCCGCTCGTACCTGATGGCCCGCGAGGCGGACGCCGCGCCCACCCCCGCCAAGTAGAACCACAGCCATGCAACGCGAACTCCACGAGATGAAACTCCCCACCGGGCCCCGCGGCCGGGCGTTGCAGCACGCGCGCCAGGCCGTCGAAGGGGGTTCCGCCCTGGACGAGGCGTTCGCCGGTTTCGAGCCGGCGCCCCGCCGCACCGACGGCACGCACGCCGCCATCCGCGGCTCTGATGCCACGCGTGAGGCGGTTCAGCAGATCGCCACGCAGCTCAGGCAGATCGACGAACAGCGTCGGGAGCTGAACCGGCTGCTCGAGCTGCTCGACTCCGCCGAGTGACCATTACGGCGTCGAACTGATATACGCTGAGCCGGGGCAGCCCGGCTTTTTTTCTGCAATCTCCCGCCTCGGCCCAATCTGCCGGCGCCGGATGCGAATTACCTTCCAGGCGGCCCGGCCGCCACGGACAGGTTTCACTCTATTCGCAGGGAGATCGACGATGGGTTGTGCAATGCAAGCGCCGAGCGGCGTGCGGCGGCTTGGGGTGCTCGTGGGACTCGCGGCGGCGACGGCGTTCGCGCCCGCCGCTTCGGCGCAAGACCGGAGCGGGTCACCGACGCCCGGCCAGGCGCGTCTCGACTTCGCCAGCCTGCCGGGGCCGACGGTCGAGCTCAACCTCAGCGAGGGGCTCATCCAGCAGGCCCTCGGGTTGGGCGAGGCGGCGCTAGCCGGCTTCCTCAGCGGCCTGGAGGAGAACGCGGCCGCCGAAAACGCCGAGGCGGTCCGCTACATCGCCCAGCAGGTAGGCGCGACGCGCGAACTGACGGAGGTGCTCGGCGAGGTGGTCGACAGCGTCCACCTCAACGTCTGGAAGGACGCCCGCGCGCTAGGCGAAGCGGCGGCCGACGTGCCGCAACTGGTGGCCACGCAGCTTTCCGACCAGGGCTGGGAGACGACCCTCCGCGCCCGGGATGGAAACAAGCTGGCGCACGTGTACCTGCAGCGTGAGGGCGAGGCGGTCCGCGGCGTGTTCGTTCTGGCCCAGGACGGGGGCGAGTTGGTGATGGCCAACGTCGTCGGTGACCTGTCGCAGGAAAATGTTGAGCGGATCGCCAACCTGGCGACCAAGATCGCGGTCGAGGCCGGCCTGGACGACGAGCTGACCAAGGCGGTCGAGAAGATCCGAGAGCGGCAAAGACGCTAACCGCGCCGCCCGCCCGCGCCGCCGATGCGGCCGGGCGGGCCCCTGAGACCGCTCCCTGGCGGATTGCCAGCCAACCTGCAGCGCGTTAATCTGCGGCATTCAACGCCAAGCAGATTTTGGCGCGGTTGTTGCAGCCCAAGTTGACGCAAGGCAACCCGCCGCAACGAGAATACAGGAGCAACCTCATGGCCTATTCCCTCCCGGAACTCCCCTACGCTTACGACGCCCTGGAGCCGCACATCGACGCGCGGACCATGGAAATCCACCACACAAAGCACCACAACGCGTATGTCACCAAGGTGAACGACGCCCTCGAGGGCTCGGGCGTGGCGGAGCAGTCGATCGAAGACCTGTGCCGCAACATCGCGTCGGTCCCCGAGAACATCCGCGGTGCGGTCCGCAACAACGGCGGTGGCCACGCCAACCACTCGCTGTTCTGGACCGTGATGAGCGGCTCCGGCGGCGGCGCCCCCAGCGGCGACCTGGCCGCCGCGATTGACGCCGAGCTGGGCGGCTTCGAGAAGTTCAAGGAGGCCTTCTCCAACGCCGCGGCCACCCGTTTTGGCAGCGGCTGGGCCTGGCTGAGCGTCGACGGCGGCAAGCTGATCGTCGAGAGCACCCCCAACCAGGACAACCCCTACATGGAAGGCCGCACGCCGATCCTGGGCCTGGACGTCTGGGAGCACGCGTACTACCTCCACTACCAGAACCGGCGGCCCGACTACATCAGCGCGTTCTTCAACGTGGTGGACTGGTCGGCCGTGGCGGACCGCTACGCCGCCGCCAAGGGCTGATAGCACCCGCGGCGCCGCCGCGACAACTGACGCAATCTCACAGGCCCCGCGGGCTTCCCGCGGGGCCTTTCTTTGTGGTGCCGCGCAGCGGATCTGGATTGGCGGGCAAATCGGCGTTGACTCGACCGGCCCGCCTCCTATACTCCGCCGCGGTTGGCTGATCCGCCGTGCCGGCGCCGCATGCATTTTGCAAAGCGTGCCGATCCGGCTGGACCACCGGCCCGGCGTGAGCCGAACAGATAAAAATGCGGTTGTAGGACTTCGGTCGACCCGGACCCTGCGACGTCGAAGACAACCAACTCCCAGGCACGGACGCCATGCGAGCCTTCCCAGCGAAAACTCAGCGGTACGCCGCGTTGCTGATCCTTCTGACTGCGATGACCACCGGTTGCCGCAGCTCTTCTCGCTGGGCGTCGTTGAACCCGTGGTCCAGCGGGGACCAGGAAACCTCGATCGCTGCGCGGACCGCCCCGGAGCTGCCCACGGCCCAAGCGAGCAATCCCGGCGGGGGCGCCGCCCTCGCGAGCTCCGCCTCGGCCACGTCGGACGCGCCGGCCTTCCAGCCGGCGGCCACGGCGCCGACCACCACTCCACCGTCCTCCGCGTACCCCACCACCGGGGTCGCGAGCGCCCCACCGGCGACAACCGCGCCGTCGACTCCGGCCTACCCGAGCACCAACAGCTACGCCGCTGCGTCGGCGCCCGCTGCGGCGGCTTCGCCGGCCGCTGGCCCGTACGATCCCAACGGCTACACACCGCCGGCCCCGACAACGCCCGCCGCGCCCGCCGACCGCTACGCCGACAACCGTTACGGCGGGGGCAACTCGCTGCCGCTGGCCGACATGCCGCCCGTCGCGGCCGCTGCCACGACGCCGTCTACGCCGAGCTCGCCGCTGCCGACCACGCCTGCCGCCAGCGGAGTGGTTTCCGCGGGGGATCGCTACGGGGCCGTCTCGTCGCCGCTCGCCGGCCTGCAGCCGTCTTCGCCGGCCGCACAGCCCATCACGTCCACGCCCGCCGCACCGAGCATGCCGCACGTCAGCCAGACGGCCGCCCAATCGGCGCCGGTCAACAGCGTCCCCGGCGGGTACCGACCGGGCGGCACCTCGAGCTACGACTCGCAGGTTAGCGTCGCGCTGAGGACCGCCCCAACGGCGACTCAGCCACCCCAGACGCAGGCGGCCCCTGCCGCCCAGCCGCAGGGCTCACCAGCGGCGCCGTCCTACCCGAGCACCGAGGCGTACCGTTACTAGGGCGCCACGGGCGGTTGGCGGCCTAGGCCACCGCCGCGCGAGTTTTGTCCCTTTTGGCGCTATCGATTCTTAGGGACAAAAGTCGGGCCCCACCGGAAGCCCCCAGGCTCGTTTCACGCTTGTATAGCAGCGTCTGAATAAATCCTCATGGCGCCCGCCGGCCGACTTTTGTCCACGCTCGCGCGTCAATAGGGACAAAAGTGGTCAAAACTCCCAGGGCCCTCTGGCTGGGCCTAAGGCGTGATCAACGCCTCATGGGCGCTGATGAGATCAGCCAGGCGCCTGTCCGCCCAGACCAGCCCCTTCTCGCCCCGTATTAGACCGCGCAGGGTGGCCGGATTCTACAAAGAAGTAGTGCTGGTCAGCGGAATCAGTGAGCCACAGAGCAGCGGTGATAGGCACGGCGCGTCGGCTCAGAATCGGCGCACAGTTGTAGCGGCCCTTCCCGCAAGCCGAGCGGTTGTCGTTAGAGCCGGGGCTAGGACTTAGCTGTCTTCGAACCCACCCTGCGGGTCACATCGACGGCAGCGGGGAAGGTCCAGCACTTACGATGTGAACGGCCGTCAGGCGATGCAACCTCTGCGCGACGGTGACCACATCCGCTGGCGGAGATCAGCCGAACGAGCCGCCGCTGCCTTGAGACGGACCAGTGCGCGGGCTACCAGCCCATCACCATGTTCGACTCGATGACCTTGCGGGCCTGTTCCAGGTCGACGCCCGTCTCGTGCATGTACAGGCGGATGGCGTGGACCTTGTCGCCCTCGGCCTTGGACAGGCAGTCGCGGGCGGTGTTGCACGGGTCGACGGAGTTCTGAATGCCGAGTGCGCTCTTGGAGATCACCCACGTGTCGCGGGGCCGCTTCGTCAGCCGCTTGACGCTCTCCTGGGGGTAGGCGTCAGCCACCACACCACTCGCCTCATCGGCGTCGTTGGCCCAGCTGATAATGATGTGGTTGTCGGTCTCGATCTCAAAGAGAGGCATGGCAGAACTCCTTCTTGCAAGGCGAGCGACGAGGGTGGCCGGGATGGTCTACCCGCGGCCGCTCGCGGCCAGAGCCAGAATCGGGAGCGAGGTTTCTCGCCCAGGTCTGATGGTAGAAAAACCGAGTCATAAAAGTCAACTTGCGGCGTGTTCCCGCGGGGCGAAAGGGGGACGTCCGCAGCTCTGGTGGTCGGGTTTGTCGGGGCCGCACCGGTCGCGCCGGGCGCCCCGCGGGGGATTGTTAGCCGCGTCCCCAACAGCGGTTGACGCTTAGCGGGGCGGCTAGCTAAACTACCGTTCTTGCTTGAGGAGGGCCTCGCCCACCGGCAGCAAGGCCCTGTAGCTCAATTGGTTAGAGCACCGGACTGTCGATCCGGAGGTTGCGGGTTCGATCCCCGTCGGGGTCGCTTAGCACAGCGACTAAGGGACGCTCTCTGGAGCGTCCCTTTTTTGTTGCCGCGGCGGTCGCCGCGGCCAATGGTTGTTCCCTCGGCCGGAAGCCGTAGCGCCATGCCCAGCACGCTCGCCGTTATCCCCGCCCGCCACGCGTCGAGCCGCCTCCCGGCCAAGCCCCTCGCCTTGATTGCCGGACGCCCAATGGTGGAGTGGGTGCTACGCCGCACCGAGTCGAGCGGCGTCTTCGACCGGGTCGTAGTCGCCACCGACCACGACGAGATCGCCGCGGTGGTCGACCGCCTCGGCGGGCAAGCGGTGATGACCTCCGCCGACTGCCAGACCGGCACCGACCGCGTGGCCGACGCCGCCCGCCAGTTCCCCGACGCGGAGATCGTGGCCAACGTCCAAGGCGACCAGCCGTTCGTCGACCCGGAGATGCTGCGGGCGTTGGTCGCCCCCTACCTGGCCGGCGACTCGCCCGACATGACGACCGTGGCCACCCGGTTCGGCGATCAGGCGCAGTTCGAGGGCCCCAGCGCGGTCAAGGTGATTCGTGACGCGCAGCAGAACGCGATCTATTTCTCTCGGTCGGTTATCCCGCACGGGTCGACGTTCGACTCGGGCGAGTCGCTGCACCACCTTGGGCTGTACGCGTTCCGGGCGCCGTTCCTGCAAGAGTTCTGCCAACTGCCCCAGACACCGCTGGAGCTGCGCGAGAGCCTCGAGCAGCTGCGGGCGCTCGAGCACGGGCGGTCGATCCGCGTCACCGAGGTCACGCGCCCGGTGATCGAGGTCAACACGGCCGAGGAGTTGGAACTGGCCAACACCATCGCGGCGCGCGATGGGCTCTCTGTAGACGCCTAAGGTGCTCACCTTTCGCCTCGGCTTCGGGTCACGTCGAGCGCTGACGAGTTCGGGAAGGCTCAGGCGCCTGACCGCGGGCTATGCCGGTCAGCGGAACCCGTTTCGTCAGGTTCTGTCGCAGCTGCAATGATGGGCGCGATAAGAGCCCGGAACGCAAACGGTCGCGGAGGCCGAGAACACTGCTACACAAGCGGTGAATGCACGTGAGCCGGAGTCCTGGTGGGCCGCCGCGTCGTCTCGAGTGGGCCAAACCGCGACAAATATGGCAAAACCCGGTGGTTTGTTTGAGCCGACGGTCGGCCGCAATTAGACTGGCAACTCGTTCCAGGCGTTGCCTCTCCTCTTGCTCGCTGCTCACGCCGCTGCGCAGGCCTGTCCCCACAGCCCTTCGAAGGCGGCCGCCGCCATGGCCGAACCGATCCACGCCGACTCGCCGCCGGACCGCGCGACGCTGCTGCGAGACGCCCGACGGCGGCTCGCCCAGCTCGAGATCGAGACCCACCGACTCCGCGCCGAACTCGCCAGGCTGGAAGCCCGCGGCGAGGACGAGGCGGCGGCGCGGCTTACCGTGCAACTGGAACGTGAGGAAGAACGGCTGGCCGAGGACCGAGACCTGCTCCGCGGCGTGGGAATCCAACCAACGCGACCGGTCTCGGCGGGAATCGACTCGAGGCAAAGCAACGCCGATGAGCCGTTCACGCCGACGGCCATACCGCCCGTTGAGAGTCCAGCGGATGCTCAGGCCAGCCCAGAGTTTGGCGCCCTGAGTCAGGGCCCGCGGACCAAGAGCACATCACGCAAGAGATCGAAGAAACGGAGACTCAAGCCCGCCTGGACGGTTAGCCTCGCTGCGCACTTGGCGCTGGTGGTGCTGCTCGGCTGCGTAACGTTTGGGCTCCCCTTGGATCAAACTAGGTTTCTGCTCGCCAACGCGACCGACGGTGAAGACTTCGACGATTTCGTAGAGATCTCGCTCGAAGCCGAGGAGTCGGAAGAGCCCCCGCTCGATCTCGAACTAGACCCGCTAGCCGCGCTGCCGCTCGACGAGCCGACGCTAGCCACGATAGACGCAGCGTTGTTCGCCGACGTGTCGGACTACGCGGTGACCCAAGCCTCCGCAATCGAGACGCTCCCGTCCGACGCCAGCGGTCTGATGCAGGCCATAGGCATTAGTGGGGCAGGGGACGAAACCGGCGACGGCAGCGAGAGCGGCGCGGGGTCCGCACAGTTCTTCGGGGCCCGAGCGCAGGGGAACCGGTTCGTGTTCGTAGTCGACAACTCGGGCAGCATGACCGGCGGGCGGATGGAGACCACCTTCTTCGAGCTGCTCAACTCCATCGGCGGCATGAAGCCCAAGCAGGAGTTCCATGTGCTGTTCTACAGCGATCAGGTCTACCCGATGTTCTTCCCGCAGCCGGCCAACGAACTGATCGCGGCCACGCGAGCGAACAAGGGGCGATTGGAGCAGTGGCTGGCGTCCGTGCAGATGTGCAAAGGCGACAGCCTGACCGACGCCATGGACCAGGCCGCCGAGCTACGCCCGCACGTGGTGTACCTGCTGACCGACGGGGGGTACCTGTTCACCGGCAAGGGCGCGGAGCGGAAGAAGTCGCGGAAGCTGGAGTACCTGACCGAGGAAACCGGCCACTGGCAGTTCACCGTGCACACGCTTGGCATGACGGTCCGCAACGCCGACGCCGCCGAGGGCCTGACGCTCATCGCCCGCGCTCACGGCGGCACGTTCACCCCGGTAGGCGTACGGCCGGCGGCCGCGCTGCTCGCCAAGCAGAAGCGGATTCCCTACAACCGCACTCCCGGGCAGTTGTGGGGGAGCGAGGTCCGGTAGGGCGCCGCACCGGTCTACTTGTTGATGGGGAGCTTCTCGGCGTTCAGGCGTTCTTGCAGCGCGCCGTCGCTGCCGCCGGTCCTGACGGATTGCAGCAGGTGGGCGAGCGAGCGGAACACCCATACGCCGGCCAGCAGCAAGGCAAACGCCCCGCCGACCAACTGGGTGCTGAACACCGCCGGCGCCGAGGCAATCAGGTAGCCGCCACTAGCCATCGCGATGGAAGCGATAACGAGGTTGGCGATCGACTGCTCGCGGCTGTGCTTCGACGCCGCCACGCCGATCGCCTGGCGGGCGGAGTCGTTGGCGAGCCGCCTCAGCGAAGCCATGTCGGTCGACTGCTCTGGCTGCACCGACCGCTTGATCTCATCCAGGCTCATGATGGGCTGCTTGGCCGGAGCCGGCGCTTCGGGCGTCGGCGTGGGCTCGACGGCTTGCTGCTGCTCGCGTGAGGCCGCGGGCTTCTCCGCCGCTTCGGGAGCCGTGCTGATGCCGCCACGCATGCGTTCCATCAGCCGCGACATGTACGCGTCGATGTCTTCTTCGTCGGGGTCGGCGCTCTCCGCAGCGGGCTCTGGCGCGGGAACAGCCGGCGCCGGCTCCGGCATCGATTGCTGCTCTGCATCCGGCTCGTCCTCGGCCGGCAGCAGGTGGGCGTACTGCTCGACGAAAGACCTGGGCGCCTCGAACGCCGCGGTCGGCGTTTCATCGGCCTCGGCAGCGGCGCCGTGACCTTCGGGCTCCTCCTCGTCATCGGAGTCGTCCATTAACCAGTCGGGGATGGGCGATGCCGATCGCGGACCGGCAGGGTCGCCCTCCTCCTGGCAAACTTGCTCGCCGTCGTCTGAGACTTGCTCCGCAACGGTCTCCGCGGGACTGGGGGCCGGATCGTTATCCGTCGCGTCAGACTGCGGGGGTACGGGGACCTCCCAGGAAGGTGCGTGTAGCTGTTCCTCCGGCTCGGAAACGGCTTCTTCTGGCGCCGACTGGGCTAGAGGCAGCATGCCGCTTCCCTCCTCCGCGACGCCGCTATCCGACTCCTCGGCAGCTGGTTCCTGTTCCTGAGGCTCCTCGGTGGTCTTCCGCTCGATATCCCACATACCGGCGGGGTCGATCGCAGGGGTCGCCGGCGTTGCCGGCTCGTCCGCCGTCGCAGCGACATCCCACATGCCCGAAAGCGGCGACTCTTCTTCGCTTTGCTCGACGCCGGCGTCCGAAACGCAGTCGGCATCGCCGCCCGAGAGGCGCCAATCGACCGGCTCGGCTTCGTCAGCGCCGCCTTGTGGCTGCTCCTCTTCGGTTGCCTCGGGCTCGTGCGTGGCGAACTTCGCGCCGAACTCCTCGCCACCCGACCGGATGGGCGTCGTCTTGCCGCCGAGGAAGGCGGCTTCCTCGTCTTCCGCCGGAGTTTCAGCGGTGGGTTCGGTCGACTCGGTGGAGGCGCCCGGCAGCGCAGCCAGCCACTCGTTCGAGTTCGTCTCGGTTGGGGTAGGTTCGGGGGTGTCCTCGATCTCGCGGACCTCGGACACTGTCGGGGGCTCGGTCGCTTCGGAGGAAACCGACCAGTCGGCGTCCGACGACTCAACGCTGGCATCTAACGGGGCAGCTTCGCTGGGCACGCCGACCTCAGCAGCATCGTCCGAAGGCTCAGGCAGTTCGGCTTCGTCGGCCTGCACCGCCGCTTCTTCGGCACGCTGCCGTAGCTGCTCTTGGGCAGCCGACAATTCGCCGGTCAGGGATTCCCGCTCGGCCTCCCAGCTCTCGATCGCGGCGGAAAGCGAGGCAATCTTCTCGGCCTGCTCCGCGAGTTGATCGCGTAGTTCCTGATTGACGGCGTCCTGGCTCTCAACCTTCTGACGGAGCCCGTCGAGCTCGCCATCGAGTGCCGCCTTCTCGGCTTCCAGGCTGGCGTATTGGGCGTCTCGATCCGCGAGCGTGGCGCGGAGTTCGTCGACACAAGCCGACAGCTCCTCGCAGCGCTCGATGTATTGGGAGAGCTGGTCGGTCGTCTCCGCCGCACGCTGCCGCTCGGCGCGAAGGGATTCAACGAGACGCTTGGCACGCGAGCGGACAGCCGTCAGCCTCTCCTGCCCCCGGAGCATCGAAGCTAGATCAATCGGGTGGGGCGTCGGGATGCCGTCACCCGCTTCAAGTCCGGCGTGGCCGGGCGCCTGCGCGGCGACCGCCTCGACCGACTTCCAGTTCACATCGGTGTAGAACTCGAAGCGATCGGGGTCTTCTGTACCGGCAGGGCAGTCGTCGTTTGACTCGGCGGCCACATCGGCGCCTTCGCCGGTGGGCTCAGGCTCAACGCCCTCGGGCACGGTGACGAGATGGTGGGTGTCTGTGGAAACCTCCGCATCGGTGGCGTCGTCCCCCGCCGTGCAGACCTCTTCATCGGTTTCCTCTGCCTCCTCTGTACTTGCTGCCGACTCGCGATTCGCGTCCTCCCACGGCTTCAGCAGGTGGGGGGGGACCGGCGACACCGAGGCGCCTGGCGGCGTTATCGCTGTGTCCTTTGCTCCCTCAGCTTCGGAGTCGTCGGACTTCTCCGGCTGCAGGTCATGCTGTTCGTCAGTGGCAGAGGGCTCGTCCGTGGCCGATTCCTCGGCGCCCGAACCCGATGGGGGCTCCGCGAGCGAAGGCTCATCCTGAGTCGCCTTGTCGGAGTCGTCCGTTGGAGCGGTCTGCTCTTCTGCATACCCCGCGTCTTCCCCGACTTCGTCCGCGTCCTCGAAGGCGAGGTGCTCAAGAAGGCCCGCAGGTTCAGCGGCCTGAAGGCCCGACTCCTCGGTTGCCAGCTGGTCAGCGACAAGCGTGGCGTTGTCAGAGTCGTCTGGCGTGGACTCGTTGTGTTCGCTGAGGTCGAGGTCGTCATCACCAACGTTCGAACCGTCGGCAAACAGGTCCGCACCAGCCGATGTTTCTTCTTCGTAGCCGGCGCCTGACGACTCGACCGGCAGCAGGTGCAGGTCGACTGGACCGATCGACAGGCAGTCGCCAGCGTGCAGGGGCGCCTCGGTGAAGGTGCTCCCGTTCAGCTTGGTGCCCGGCGACCACCGCCGCACGGTAGCCGCCCCGTCGGCGAGAACCACGACGCAGTGCAGCGGCTTCAGCCCGGGCGCATCAAGGCGCAGGTCGCACTTGGGCCCGGCGCCGATGGAGGTCGGCCCCTCGGGCAGCAGGAACCCCTGCTCCCAATCGGAGGCGGACAGTTGAAGGGCTCCCAGCGGAGCCGCCGTGGCAAGGACCGCGGCCTGCGTTTCGGTAGACATTGAGGGCGTCATCTTCGAGGGTTTCCACGGACCGACAGCCGTTGGCGAGCCATCACGACACCGCCGCAAACCAACCGCCCGTACCGACATAATCTCACTGGGATGTAGCTTCCAACGAGCGAGCGGTCAAAACGGCCCGGGCCCCTAGGGCCGGACTCGCGACCTCCGGCGATTTCACTCAACCGGATGTTCCGGAGGATCCGATTAGATAACCGTTTGCCTGGCGGCCGGCGGTTCCCCGCTATCAAACGAATGTCCAGCCCGACCACCCAGGGGATCGCCGGCGATTGACCCTGCACCGTTGACGGCGGGGCAGGAAAAACCCGCGGAAATCGGCCCCGGGCGAGGGAACTCAGCCCGTCAACTCGGTTTACTGAACAACCGACGACCCATTTTCGGAAAACTGCGTACTATAGTTTGGTTGTTGCCAGGGGCGACCGGCCCGTGCGTCAACCAGATTTACAGCAGAGAAGCGGGGCGAGCGACGGCGGCCGAGGAGGGCCAAGGCGCTCCCCTGGGAACACGAGGCGGCAGGCGCCGCCCCCCCGAGGCCCGCCCAGGCGGTGCACAGGATTCGGGGCCGTGGCGTCAAACCAAGCAAGGTGAACGGCAATGGCACGCAAAGACTCCATCCTGAAGATGCGCGATCTTCTCACGACGCGCCGGGACGCGCTCCGCAAAGCTCTGGCGGGCGACCTCAGCATGCTGCAGCAGCTCCGCGAGCAGATCGGCGGCGACGTCGTCGACTTCGCTCTGGACGCCGCGCAGGACGAAATCAACTCCCAGCTCGCGGAGGCAGAGAGCCGTGAGCTCAAGCACATCGAGCACGCCCTGATGCGCATCCGCGAGGGTTCGTACGGCAAGTGCGAGGTCTGCGCCGCCAATATCCCAATGGCGCGTCTGAACGCCCTGCCGTACGCGACCATGTGCATCGAGTGCCAGCGGGCTTCCGAAGACGGCACCCTGGAAGACCGCCGGGTTGAAGATTGGGGCCGGGTGGTCGATACCGGCTATTCCGACGCCGACGCGACGATCTCGGATTTTGAGGTCCAGTAGGCGGTCTTCAGGCCCGTCCCACGGGGTATACTCCCCGGGAACGGATCCGCCACACACACGGCCGCCGCGGGTCTCCGACTCCGGCGGCCTTTTTCGTATCGCGACCACTGCCCAAGAGAGCCAACCCTTCAGCCCCATGCCACTCGCACCAGCCCACGGACGACTCGTGCTCACCACGCTGATCGCGTCGTGCCTGGCCGCGGGTATGGCGCGGCCCGCCGCGGCCCAGCTGGCCCCAGGGCAGCCGGCGCTGACCGAGGCCGAGCGTGACCGCCAGTACGAGGCCTTGGCCGAGGACGTTGCTGCGATGGACCGACTGCTCGGGTTGGTGAAGCGCGTGGTCAGGCTGGTGACCCCGTCGGTCGTGCACATCGAGGCCCGGCCGATCCGCGAGCTGCGCGTCCGCAGCGACGTGCAGGAGGCCGGCTCAGGCGTGGTGGTGCAGTTTTCCCCCGGTGGTGAGAAGTACGTGCTCACCAACCGGCACGTCATCAAGAACTCTTCCGAGCCCCACATCCGCGTGCAGCTGTTCGACGGGCGGCGGATCAGCCCGACCGAGATCTGGAGCGACCCGCACACCGACGTCGCGGTGATGAAGGTCGACGCGTCGGACCTGGCGCCCGCCCGCATCGGCGACTCCAACGTGATGGAGATCGGCGATCCGGTGCTGGCCGTCGGCAGCCCGTTCGGCCTCAGCCAGAGCGTCACCCGCGGCATCATCAGCGCCAAGGGCAGGTACAACCTGGAGCTTGGCGAGGGCGAGGTGAAGTATCAGAACTTCCTGCAGACCGACGCCGCCATCAACCCCGGCAACAGCGGCGGTCCGCTGATCAACATGCGGGGCGAGGTGATCGGCCTCAACACGGCGATCGCCAGCAACTCCGGCGGGAACGAGGGCATCGGGTTCTCGATCCCGGTCAACATCGCGATGCGGATCGGCGAGCAGCTCACCCGCACCGGTCAGGTCCGCCGGGGCTACCTGGGCGTCAAGCTGGACGCATTGTTCGACGAACGCCGCGCCCGCGCCGCCGGGCTGTCTCGCCTGGTGGGCACGCGGATCAAGAGCGTCGAACCGAACTCGCCCGCCGCCGTCGCGGAGCTGCGTCCCGACGACATCCTGATCGAGTACAACGGCGTCCGCATTGAGGACGACGACCACCTGATCAGCATGGTCAAGCTGACCGAGATCGGCCAGGAGATGGACGTGCTCGTCTTCCGCGGCGGCCGCCAAGTCCGCGCCCGGGTGCGGATCGGCGACATGTCTCAGTTCGACCTGACGGAGTAGCCGCCCGCGCGTTCCTGGCGCTGATCACACGTCTGGGCCGATCACGCGTCTGGTTTGACCGCCTCGTACGTCCGCGACGACGACTGCTCCGCTGTGGGATCGCCGAACCCGCCCGCATTCTCAACCGCGATCTCGTACAGCTGCTGGCCGCAGCTGGTCGGGTACTGGCCGCTGATGCAGGCCTGGCAAAGCTCGCCGGCGGGGCGGCCGACCGCGCGGGCGATGGACTCCAGCGGCAGGTACCGCAGCGAGTCGGCGCCCAGCTCCTCTGCCATCGCGCGGAACGCTTCCTCATCCGTGGCGGACTTGTTCAAGAAGTGCGGCGCGAACAGCTCGCCGATGGTCGACATGTCGATGCCGTAAAAGCAGGGCGCCACGATCGGCGGGCAGGCGACCCGCACGTGGATCTCCCGCACGCGGCCCACGGTCCGCAGCCGGTCGATCAGCACCCGCATGGTGGTCGACCGGACAATCGAGTCCTCGACCAGCAGCACCCGCTTGCCCTCTAGCACCTCGCGCAGTGGCGTGTACTTGCTGGCGGCCTTGGCGTAGCGGGCGTCGCCGCCCTCGATGAACGTGCGGCCGGAGTACCGGTTCCGCATCAGCCCCTCGACGCTCGGCACGCCGAGCTTGAACGCCATGGCGTCGGCCGCCGCCTTGCTGGTGTCCGGCACCGGCACGACGACCGTGTCATTGTCGATGGGTAGGTCCTCGAGCTGCGCCAGCTCCTCGCCCAAAGCCTTGCGAGACAGGTACACGCTGCGGCCGTCCATCGTGCTCGCCACGTTGGCGAAGTAGATCCACTCGAAGAAGCAGTGCGCGCGGCTCGGGTTGTCCACGAAGGGCTGGATCTCGAGCTTGCCGTCGGAGATCACGATCGCGTGCCCGGGCTCCAGGCAGTGGATGTTCTCTTGCGCAAAGCCCAGGTTCAGCAGGGCCACGCTCTCGCTGGCCGCGGCGAACAGCGAGTCCTGCACCGCGTAGCTCATCGGCTTGACGCCCAGGGGGTCGCGGGCGACCAGCATCTCGCCCAGGGCGTTGATCATGGCCAGCGTGTAGGCGCCGTCGAAACGCTTGGCGGCGCCACGCATCACCTCCAGCAGCGGCTGCCGGTGCTCGCCCGCCAATTCCTTGGCGAGCTCGTGCATGATGATCTCGGTGTCGGTGGCGCGGGTGATGTGGTGGTCGTCCTCGGCGAGCAGCTGGTCACGCAGCTCCGCGTAGTTGGCCAGCTGCCCGTTGAAGGCGAAGCTGAACCACTTGCGTTTCTGCAGGTGACGCCGCTCGAACGGCTGGGCGTAGCTGACGTCGTCCTTGCCGCAGGTGGCGTACCGCACGTGGCCGATCGCCGCCGGGCCGGCGAAGCGGGCCATCAGCGAGTCGGTCTTCTCCTTGTGGCTCAGCCGGAATACCTCGCTCACGCTGCCGAGCTCGCGGTACCGCTCGATCAGGTGCTTGCGGTCCGGGTTGAACGACGCCATCCCCGCGGACAGCTGCCCGCGGTTCTGGATGTCCAGCAGCATCCGCGGGATCAGCCGCGACGCCTGCGACGGCCCCTGGGAGGGGCAGAGGGGGCTTTGCGGGCCGGGCAGGTGGTACACCGCCGCGACGCCGCACTCGTGGCGCAGTTCGCTCATAGCTTGGTGATCAACGCCAGTGGTCTGGCTGGCGCGTCAGAGAGTGGGCCCGCTGTCATCCCGCCCGACTTCCCCTCGGGCGGCGCTGTGCATCCATTCTACGGGCGCGGCCGCCGGGGTTACAGCCCCGCCTGCGCCTGCTGGAGTTCGAGCTGCAGCAGCCGCAGCCGCTGAGCGTGGTGCCGCTGCATGGCCTGCAGATCGGCCTTGGTGTTGTCACGCCGCAGCTCGGCCCGCAGCAACGCCAGCCGGGTGGACTCCACGGTCAGCGTCAGCGGATTGCCCGTCGAGAACCGGTTGAACGGCTCGTACTCCCGCAGCAGCCGTTTGAGCGACTCCGCCTCGGCGTCGGCCATGGTCAGCTCGGTCCGCAGACGACGCACCTCGGCCGGGTGCTCAACGTTCTGGTACAGGTGCAGCCGCAGCTCCGCGATTTCGACTTGCCGCTGCACGTCGTAGGCGGTCTGGGCGCGGGCGGCGCCGACGCCGATCGTCGCGACGCAAACAACAGCCGTCAGGGCGGCCAAGCGGGGCAGGGCGGTCATGGCGGGGACTCACGCGGGGAAGGAAGAGAACCTCAATCCCCAGCCTAATCACCCGTGCTGCGGGGCCAAGCCAATTGGCGCCCGCCGCCCGCGCAACCGCTGCGGCCCGCATTACCCTACGCCCGCAGCAGCGTCAGGTTGTCTCGGTGGACCACCTCGTAGTACGACCACTTGCCGAGGATCTCGCTGAACCGCTCGGTCGGCTCGCCGGCCACCTGCCGGACATCCTTCGAGCTGTAGTTCGTCTGGCCGCGGGCGAACTCCTCGCCGTTGGGGCCCACCAGGCTGACAACGTCGCCCTTGTCGAACTCGCCCTCGACGGCCGTGATCCCAACCGCCAGCAGGCTGCCGCCCTCCTCCGCAATGGCGTGCTCGGCGCCCGCGTCCAGCCGCAGCTTCCCCTCCGGATGCACGCTCCAGCCGATCCACCGCTTGCGGTCCCGCACGGATGCGCCGTTAGCGATAAACAGCGTTCCGATCGACTCCCCCGCCAGGATGTCCGGCAGCACGTTCGGCCGGCGGCCGTTGGCGATCACCACGTTCTCGCCCGCCTCGGTCGAGATCTTCACCGCCTTTAACTTGCTGGACATTCCGCCGGTGGACAGCCGCACGCCTGCGTGATTCGACTCCCCGGCCAACCCCATGACGGTCTTGTCCAGCTCGCGCACGATCGGGATCACCTTCGAGCCCTCGACGCTGGGGTCGCCGTCGTACAGGCCTTCCACGTCGGTCAGCAGCACCATCAGCGGCGCCCGGATCAGGTTGGTGACCAGCGCCGCCAGGCGGTCGTTGTCGCCCATCGAGCGGCGCAGCTCTTCGACCCGCACGGTGTCGTTCTCGTTGACGATCGGCACCGCGCCGTAGTCGAACAGCGCCCGCAGCGTGTTCCGGGCGTTCAGGTACCGGCGCCGGTCGTGCATGTCGTCGGCGGTCAGCAGCACCTGCGCGGCGTGCAGCCCGTGCGGCTCGAGCGCCTGGTTGTAGCACTCGATCAGGCAGCTCTGGCCGACCGCGGCGGCCGCCTGCAGCTGGGCCAGGTCGGTCGGCCGCTCGGTCAGGCCCAGCCGGCCGATGCCGGCGCCCACCGCGCCGCTGCTCACCAGCACCACCTTGCGCCCGTCGGCCCGCAGTCGGGCGATTTGGTCGGCGATCGACTTGATCTGCCCCAGGTCGAGCGCCCCGTCGGGCCCGGTCAGCGTGCGGGTGCCCACCTTCACGACAACCATGTCGGCGATGGCGGCGATCTCGTTGCGTACGGCGTCTAGCATCGTTGAAACAGGGGTTGGCAAGAATCGGCGCAGGGTCGCCGCGGCGGGTTCCGTCCCCCGCCGGGCGCGCCCCATTGTACTACTGGCGCGGCGGTCGAAGCAGGCGGGCCGCTCAGGCCGGCTTGAGCACCAGCAGCGTTACGCCGGTGGTCATGTCGGCGGTCTCCTGGCGGTATGCGTCCATGTGCGGGGCGGCCAGGTGAGCCTCGAGCGCCGCGGTGCTCTCCCACTTCTCAACCACCACCACGGCGTCCTCGCCGGCCAGCTGCTGCACATCCATGCCGGTCGGCTCGTCGATGGTCGCGCCGTACTCGATGCAGCCCTCCTCGGCCCGCACCAGCGGCGTCAGCCGGGCGAACGCCTCGAGGAATCCCGCCCGGACGCCCGGCTTCAGGGTGATGGTTGCGACAACGTGGATCATGCTGCGTGCTCGGTAGGCGTCGAGGGGAGGGGGGAGGCAAACCGTTTAAGTTAACGGACCCACCGGAACCGCAACACCCCGGCGGAGCTACTCCAGCGGCCGCCGCTCGACCCCTTCGAAGGTGATTTTCACCGGGCGGATGGTCCCGTCGTCGTTGAATTTCATGCGGTCGATGCAGACCACCCGGTGGTTGCCGTCGGTCTCTCCCAGCGGCCGGCGGTGGTAGACGATGTACCAGTCATCCGAGCCCGGCGGGTGCACCACCGAGTGGTGCCCGGCGCCGGTGGCCACCTTGGGGTCCTGCTTCAGGATCTTCGCGACCCGCTTGAACGGGCCGGTCGGCGAGTCGCCGATCGCGTACGCGACGCTGTAGTCCGGGCCGGTCCAGCCCCCTTCGGACCACATCATGTAGTACCGGCCGCCGCGTTTGAACACGAACGGGCCCTCGACGTAGTTCTCCGGCGTGATCTCCTTGAAGGTCTCGCCGTCGGGGAACTGTTGGAGCGACAGCAGGTCCGGCGCCAGCCGGGCCACGTTGCAGTGCCGCCAGCCGCCGTAGTACAGGTAGAGCTGGCCGTCGTCGTCGCGGAACACGAACTGGTCGATCGGCTGCGCGCCGTTGTGGAACCGGTCGATCAGCGGGCGGCCGATGGCGTCCTTGTAGGGGCCCTCCGGCTTGTCCGCCACCGCCACGCCGATTCCGCCTAGGGCCTCGTCGTTCTGGATGTCGTTGGCGCCAAACAGCAGGTAGTACTTGTCGTTGGCCGCGATGATCGACGGCGCCCACACCGCGTAGCTGGCCCAGTCGACGTTGTCCGCGTCGAGCACGCGCGGGTGCTTGGTCCAGTTCACCAGGTCCGTGGAGCTGAACGCGTCGAAGAACGTCTGCTTGTGGTACCTGTCTGAGTAGGTCGGGAAGATCCAGTAGCGGTCGCCGAAGATGATCGCCTCCGGGTCGGCGTACCAACCGGCGAACACCGGGTTGCCCGACAAGCCCCGCTGCTTCAGCTCGGGACGCGCCTCCTGCCCCTGACAGCACGGTGCGGTGGCTAGCACAACCAAGGCGATCAACAACTGACGCGGCATTGAAATTCTCATTGATGAAGGTGTATCGCGGAGCGGGGGTCGGTCTCGGATTGGCACTAGCAGTTGGGTCACCCGGGCAGGGGCTCGGTCGTCACTTTCAGCGGAAGGGCGTTCTTATGGGCCTGCTCTGGGTCGGCGCCGCACGAGCGGAGCTGGTCGGCCTTGAGCTCGGCGTGCTCGCGCATGCCGGACCACACGCAGCTCTTGCCAGACTCATGGGCCGTCATCGTGATCTTGAGCGCCTTCTCCGGTTCGTAGCCGAACACCTTGATGATCGATTCAACCACAAACAGAAAGCCGTTGATGTCGTCGTTGTGCAGGATGACCGCGTAGGGCGGCTGCTTCTTCGGCTTTTTGCCGCACTCGGCTGCTTTCTCCGTTTCTTCCGCGGGCAGCACGGCCGGCTCGGCGGCTTCGGCGGCCATAAACACCTCCTGTGATCCTCTTGAACTGGGTCTAGGTGACTCAACCAGCGTGCGGCACAAGTCGCTTCTACCTGGGCGCGGCGTTAGCGACCGGTCATCTCATACAGCGGAAGGTGCCTGTAGAACACCTCCAGACTCAGCAGGTTGAGCGTCGTGACGTACAGCCGGCCGCCCAGGTGCCGCCACTTGTCGGGGACCGGGGCGATCGGGTTCCAGCTGCCGGCCAGCTCGCCGCCGCGGGTCTGGCTGTCGACCAGCAGCGGGTGCAGGGAGTCGTTCCACGCATCCCAGTGGCGCCCGCCCACGTGGAACATCACCTGCGTGCCGTAGTACCAGTAGTACGTGTCCCGCAGCGGGTTGCCCAGCGTGCTGGTGCGGGCGGGGGTCATCGACTCGCCGACGGTCGGCAGGTTGGCTAGCAGGTGGTCGGCGCCCCGCTGCATCCGGCGGCTCTCACGGCCCTCGCCAAGGTAGAGCTGCATCAGCAGGCCGACCGAGGTCATCACCGTGCCAGGGTTGCGGCCGTGGCTGGTGCGGGCGTCGTTGGCCGGGGCGTTGGGGTTGTAGCAGAAGCGGGCCTGGTCGCCCGCCTGCTCGCGGCACGCCTCGAGGAACCGGCGCACGCCGGCGTAGGTGCGGGTGGGTACCTCCAGCCCGGCCAGCTCGCCGCTCCGCAGCGCCATCAGCATCCACCCGGTCACCGACAGGTCCGAGTTGAACCCGGGCGTGTACCGCCAGCCGCCGAGCCGCTCGACCTGCGTCGAAACGATGTAGTCGATCGCCCGCTGCGCCGGCCGCTGCAGCCGCGGGTCGCCGGTCATGCCGTACGCCTCGCAGAGGGCGATGGTGGCGATGCCGTGGCTGTAGAACCGAGCGACCTGGTAGGCGTCGCTGTTGCCGGACTCGGGGAAGATCACCCCCGAGTCGTCTTGCATCGCGATCAGCGCGTCGACGCCGTTCTTGACGGTCGACTGGTGCTTGCCGTCGATGTGGTCGTACCCCGCGCCGAAGAACGACAGCAACGCCAGCCCGGTGGCGGCCGCGTCGGCCCGGATCTGCGGCACCTCCGCCGCGCGGACCTCGGCGCCCGCCAGCGAGTCAAACGCCCAAGAGCCGTCGGCGCGCTGCACGCCGGCCAAGAACTTCAGCCCGAGTTCGATGGCCGCCTCGGTGCGCGGCGAGGGGTAGCCCTCGCTGCCGGACTCCATCATCTCAACCCGCTTGCCGCGGCTGCTGAACGCCGCGGTCGGCGCGC